CCCAAAGTGCTGGGAATACAGGCATGAGCCACCACACCCGGCCTAGTTGGTATGTTTTTGGAGTGCTGGTACTGGTTGTTCCTTTCTATGTTTAGTGCCTCTTTCAGGAGCTCTTGTAAAGCAGGCCTGGTGGTGATGAAATCTCTGAGTACTTCCTTGTTTGTAAAGGATTATGAAACTTAGTTTGGCTGGATATGAAATTCTGGGTTGAAAGTTCTTTTCTTTAAGGATGTTGAATATTGGCCCCCACTCTCTTCTGGCTTGTAGGGTTTCTGCTGTGAGTCTGACGGGCTTCCCTTTGTGGGCAACCTGACCTTTCTCTCTGGCTGTCCTTAGCATTTTCTCCTTCATTTCAACCCTGGTGAATCTGACGATTATGGGCCTTGGGGTTGCTCTTCTTGTGGAATATCTTTCTGGTGTTCTCTGTATTTCCTGGACTTGAATATTGGCCTGCCTTGCTAGGTTGGGGAAGTTTTGCTGGATAATATCCTGAAGAGTATTTTCCAGCTTGGATTCATTCTCTTCGTCACATTCAGGTACACCTATCAAACGTAGATTAGGTCTTTTCACATAGTCCCATATTTCTTGAAGACTTTGTTCATTCCTTTTTGTGCTTTTTTCTCTAATCCTGCCTTCTTGTTTTATTTCATGAGTTGATCTTCCACCTCTAATATCCTTTCTTCTGCTTGGTCAATTCGGCTGTCGAAACTTGTGTATGCTTCGCAAAGTTCTCATGTTTTTCAGCTCCATCAATTCACTTATATTCCTCTCTAAGTTGTTCATTCTCACTAACATTTTATCAAATCTTCTTTCAAGGTTTATAGTTTCTTTGCATTGGGTTAGAACATGTTCTTTTCGCTCACAGAAGTTTCTTGTGCCCACCTTCTGAAGCCTGATTCTGTCATTTCACCAGAAATGATCGAATTTCTGATCTCTCCATCCAGCCTTGTTCCCTTGTTGGTGAGGAGTTGTGATCCCTTGTAGGTGGAGAGGTGTTTTGATTTTGGGTGTTTTCATCCTTTTTGCACTGACTTCTTCCCCTCTTTGTGTATTTTTCCACCTGTCGTCTTTGTAGTTGTTGACTTTTAGATTGGGTCTCTTAGTGGATGTCCAGTTTGTTGATGATGAAGTTATTTCTTTCAGGCCCTTCTGCTGTAGGACTGCTGAGGTCCACTCCAGGCCCTGCTTGCCTGGGATCACCTGCAGCAGCTGCAGAACAGTAAGGGTTGCTGCCAGTTTCTTCTGCTGTCTTTGTCCCTGAAGGATACCCGCCTGATGTCAGTATGAGCTCTCCTTTATGAGGTGACTCCTTGGATATACAGGGTTCAGGGAATAGCTTAAGGAGACAGTCTGTCCTTTATAGGAGCTCCATTGCTGAGCTGTGAGCTCCGTTGTTCATTCAGAATTGCTGGGCAGGTACATTTAAGTCTGCTGCAGCTGAACTCATAAACCCCCCTTTTTTCCTCCAGGTGCTCTGTCCCGAGGAGTTAGGGCTTTATTTATGACTTTCTGTTGTGCTGCTGGCTTTTTTCAGGGCTGCCCTGCCCAGTGAGGAGGCAGCCTAGTCACTGTCTGCCTGCAGAGGCTTTGCTGAGCTGCTGTGGGCTCTGCCCAGCTGCCATGTGAACTTCCCTGCAGTCCTGGTTATACGGGTGTAGTTAGAACTGCCTCAGCAATGGCAGCCCACCTCTGTAATGGCGAACTCTCTCTGTAATGGTGGGCTTGGCAATGGCGGACTACCTCCTCCATAGTGGTGGAGTGCCTTGGTAGTGTCGGACACCCCTCCCCCACGGAGCTGGACCATCCCGGATTCAGCTGTGCTTGCTGTGAAACTGTCAATCCAGAGCATTTCAGATTGCTGTTTTCTTGTGGAGGTGGGACCAGCTGAGCCTGATCACCTGGCTCCCTGCCTCAGAGCCTTTTTTTTTTTTTTTGTATCCCAGGTGTTCCAGTCGCCTGTTGAAAAGGCGCCGGGATCTGTGTGATTTCCCGTGCTGGCTGAAACAGCTGCACTGAGATTCATGGCGCTTTTTTGCCCGGGAATCTCCTGGCCTGGCTCCCTGTTTCAGTCCCCCTTTCTATCAGTTGAATAGGTGACTCTGTCTTCCCCAACCTCCAATCGCCAGCTAAAACAGTGCCCCGACCCATGTATTTTATATGGAGAACCGCTGCTCCTGGGCACCAGCCAAAGCAGCCGCGCTGGCCAAAACAGCCGCACTGGTGACCCGTGGGACTCCTCTGCCTGGGAATCTCCTGGTCTGTGGGCAATAAAAATCCGTCTGGAAATGCAGCATCCACTCACCCTCCATGGTTTCGCTGGGAGCTGCAATCCTGAGCTGTTCCTAATCCAGGTCTTTCCTAATTGTCCACTTTTTAATGTTTAAACAGTAACAGTATCAGTGCCAGATTGAAGAGGAGGTTAAATTGAACTCCATCTTTCAATGCTAAGAGTGAGAAAGAATTTGCAGCTATCTTTAATCAACATATATTCTGCCCTATGGTCACAAATTATTTTTGTCCTACATGCAAAATATATTCACTTCCTCTCAAGACATGCTTCCCAGAAAACTCTCATCTCATTAGAGAAGGAATTGGCAAACTCTGTAAAGGGCCAGAGGGTAAATCTTTTGCCTTCGTTCGTCATAAGATCCATGTCACAGCTACTCAGTTCTGCCACTGTATTGCAAAAACAAATGGATGTGGCTGTGTTCTACTACTAATCTACAAATCTGGCAGTGACTCAAATTTGACCCACAGGCAGTAGTTTGCTATTCTGCAGTAAGACTTGAGGCCTAAAGTTCAGGATCTTGTTATGTAACCAAGTCTGTGTATGGATGAAGCTACTCAGATGTGGCTCCTCTTGCATCTGAAGCCTGAACTAAAGAGGCAAGTTATCTGTCACCTTATAACAACAGTGGTATGAAATGATAAGAGAACTTATAACAGACATTCCCATTCAAAAAGAAGAGAAAAACAGGAGGCTCCTGGCAGTCACTGGTTTATATCAATTCAGAATTCCAGTAGGGACATGCTGTCAGATCTCCTATTAGGGCCCAGACCTGTTTCCTGAGGGGTTCTCAGTGGCTGTTGGTTCTACCTTTGGGCTTTTGGCTCCCCACTAAGTCATTGTTTTTATTCCATTAAAAAAATAACAAACAAACTTTGTTTACATGAGTATCTTTGTCAGCCTCTTTCCTAACCACAGCAAATTGAAAGCCAAAGGTCTCTCTTCTTTTTTAAACAGTTTCTCTCCTTTACTCTAAACTAGTATAATTCCATTTAAAACCTTATAGGTTTCTGTGTCAGCTCTATTGGACAAAAGCCATTCTGCATTACTTTACAAAACAGACCCTTATCTACTTTGGGCTGGATGGGAGGCTACTATGGAAAAATGCTCTTAAGATTCCTAGACACTGTTTTCTAGTTGAGTGGGTCTGTGGGGCACAACCTTAAATCTTTCTGAGGTCTCAACAGATTGTTTTACAGCCAAACCCTTGAACTAAACTTTTATCTAAGACCATATTTTAATGGTAACATTCTGATTTGATAGTTGCCTTAGGCAGTTTCTCATTTTGAGAGTCTTTGGCCTCTCAAAGTGGTTTTCAGAATGTCTGAAATGCCTTCAAAATGAGGAAAAACATAAGATATCCTGGGACTGAGAAATGTCACCCAGCTGGAATGCAATGGCATTGTCACAAGTCACTGCAGCCATGTCCTCCTGGGCTCAGGTGATCCTCCCACCTCAGCCTCCTGAGTAGCCGTGACCATAGGTGCATGCTACCATCCCCAGCTAAGTTTTTGTACCCTGGGGGGTGGAGGCGGGGTGGTTTGCCATGTTGCCCACACTGGTCTCAAACTCCTGGACTCAAGCAATCTGCCTACTTCAACCTCCCAGAGTGCTGGGATAATGGACGTGAGCCACCATGCCTGGCTCTTGCAATGGTTTTATTTTAGAATCCAGCAAGATCTGGCTCTTTAATATTTTCTTTAAATTGTGCTTAAAAATCAAATAGTTCATTTTTGGCTGGGTGTGGTGGGAGGCACTTTGGGAGACTGAGGCATCCAGATCACCTGAGGTCAGGAGTTCAAGACTAGCCTGGCCAACATGGCAAAACCCTATCTCTACTAAAAATAAAAAAAAATTAGCCAGGCATGTAATCCCAGTTACTTGGGAGGCTGAGGCAGGAGAATCACTTGAACCCTTGGGAGGTGGAGGTTGCAGTGAGCCAAGATCGTGCCACCTCACTCCAACCTGGGTGACAGAGCAAGAGACTCCGTCTCCCCCACCAAAAAATCAAATAGTTTGTTTTTTAGCCCATCTTACTCCTCTCACACTTTATCATAAGCATCTAAAAGAAGCCAAATGGTACTTTAAAATGTTCTGTTTGGAAGTCTGCACACCCAAATGCATGAGTTCATTCTTTTGTGTAACTAAAACATGAGTCTCATTTTTTCCTGTCTCCAATAACAATTTCCTCATTGTCTTTCAAGTTATCACTAGTAATTTCCAGGAGTTCTCTACCTGCCAGCCAGTCCTCCTCTTAGTAAGTGGTTACTGTGAAGGAGAGAATGATTTGTAGCCATTTTTTCGACCTAAATGTGGTTTCATTGTTTTCTTAACTTGATCTTTTTTTTTTTACTTGAACTGAATTTCTAGACAACTACTTCAATGGAAATTTTACCACAGAGATGCATTCCATAGCTATCTTTTAGCTCTTCTGTTGCAGTTTTTGGGCTACTATAAGCATATTTGTATTTTATTCACCTATTAGGAAATGATTATGTTAATATTAATAAATATATTCACATTATAGTAGATAGGAATAGTTAATGTATGTAGTAGATATTGAACAAATGCTTAGCATTATTTTGAGAGAATTTTATTTTGCAGCCAGAAAGATTTGTGTGTGGAAATGTTTAATTTGTTCTTACCTTTTTAAAGAACTGAATTTACATTGTAGTTGGAAGATATCTCTATATTAAAGTTGTTCTTTTTCTAGGAATGTGAATATGTTTCAGCTCATCTTCATGAATGGATAGATCTGATCTTTGGCTATAAACAGAGGGGACCAGCTGCAGTAGAGGCGCTCAACGTTTTCTATTATTGTAGTTATGAAGGTATAAATCTATACACTTTTTCTCTTGCTTTCCCTTGATAGAAACTATTGTTTAATATATGTTTACAGTTATTTTGGGCCTATTTAATATGAGAAAGACTACATTTAAAAAACATCTTTCTACTTGAAAGAATAAGAGATGTCTGCTTTTTTTGTAATAGTAGTTAAGTATATATATGCCAATCTAGTTATAAATGTCACTTATCAATATCATAAAAGTTTTTAATTTCTAACATATTTATCCTATTCTGTTGAGTCAAATATTAAATATTCAGTATTAAACAGCAGATTTTGAAACAAGGCCTTTGAAGTTACAAATGAAATTCTCTAAATGATACATATGATCACATTATTTAGCTTAGAATCAAGAATATTTTATGATGGCCTTAAAATTATTTTAAAAAGTAGTTCTTTACTAATTCTTAAGTAGACTAATAGTTCTAAAGATTGTGAATAGTGTGAAGTTTTGTGAATGTGAATAAAGTGAGAGATTTCTGGTAAATGAGCATATTTTTCCCATGCCATATCTATTCAGGTAGTAGGTTTTGTAGGGAGAAAGTATTGCATGGCTGTTAGAAGCTTGGACTTATGTAGATTTAGCCAATTATCAGTCATGTAACAATCCATATTAGATTATGGCTGAGTATAATCAATTAACCAGAATATTACCTTTCAAATCCTTTGTTTCAAGCAATAACTTAAAGCAGTATTTTTGTGTAGTTACTACTCTTGTTTGAATTTGACTATCATGATGAAAACAATTAGGTATATTCTGAGTATAGTTTGTATTTTTGCAAAAGAAACTTTTATTGATTTTTATTTATTCTGTGATAGGTTCTTGCTCTGTCACCCAGGCTGGAGTGCATTGGCGTAATCATAGTGGACTGCAATCTGGAATTCCTGGGGTCAAACAATTGCTCCTGCCTCAGCCTCCTGAGTAGCTGGAAACTGCAGGCATACCACCGCGCCTGGCTAATTTTTTAAATTTTTAGAGAGACGAAGTCTCACTTAGTTGCCCTGGCTGCTTTCAAACTCTGGGCCACAAGCTATCCTCCCACCTCAGCTTCCCAAAGTGCTGGGGTTACAGGTGTGACCCACCACCCCCGGCCCAATAGAAACTTTCATAAAATACCATTTAACTTTTAATTGTTTAAAATACTTTAGCTTTTTTTTTTTGAGGCAGAGACTCGCTTTATCACCAGGCTGGAGTGCAGTGGCACAATTCCAGCTCACTGCAACTTCCGTTTTCCAGTTTCAAGCAATTATCCTGTCTCATCCTCCCGAGTAGCTGAGACTACAGGTGCATGCCACCATGTCCAGCTAATTTTTTCTACTTCTTTAGTAGAGACAGGGTTTCACCACGTTGGCCAGGATGGTCTCAATCTCTTGACCTCATGATCTGCCCATCTCGGCCTCCCAAAGTGCTGGGATTACAGGCATGAGCCACCACACCCGGCCTGCTAATTTTTATATATATTTAATGTTTGGTGAGTTGCTGATTTTTTTTAATTACCTTTTCACAACATTATAAATTGAAGAATGGAATAATATTTGGTTGAAACTATACCAATGAGGCTGGGCTTGGTGGCTCATGCCTATAATCCCGGCACTTTGGGAGGCTGGGGTAGGTGGATCATCTGAGGTCAGAAGTTCAAGACCAGTCTGGTCAACTCAGTGAAACCCCATCTCTACTAAAATAACAAAAATTAGCTGGGTGTGGTGGCACCCACCTGTAGTCCTAGCTACTCAGGAGGTTGAGGTAAGAGAATCGCTTGAACTGGGGAGGTAGAGGTTGCAGTGAGTCAAGATTGCACCACTGCGCTCTAGTGTGGGTGACAGAGCAAGACCCCATTTAAAAACACACACACACACACACACACACACACACACACACACCTCCCACTCCCAAGAGCCTGATACATTAATCGGTGATGTGGCTTTCTGATTTGTTTTCACTCTGTAGTAAGTCAACTTTTTCTCCTGCTTTTAGGAGCTGTGGATCTGGATGCCTTAACAGATGAGAAAGAAAGAAAAGCCTTAGAAGGGATGATTAATAATTTTGGGCAAACACCTTGTCAACTATTAAAGGTAAGTCATATGTTATCAACAACTTAAGAAGTCTAATAATTGAATTACTAAGGAATAGTATTACCAGTATTTTTAAGGATATTAAGGATTTTAATGATGTAAACCCTTATTTTGGAATTCCCATCTAGAAAACAAATTATACTGTCACTTAAAAATTAGGTTTAAGTCATGTTTTTATTTTTATATAACAAAATATTGCAGTCAGAATCCATATACATAGCCAATTACTCTCAGTCCCAGAAAGATTTCTATTTGCTCAGAAAGCCTTGTATTAATTACGAGAAGAAAAACTGAGTACTAATTAGGGTATGCCATTAAAACTCCTCATATTGGGACTCGTTCCACATGTAAAACTTCTAATAGCTAACATCTGCCCAAAAAGGCACTTACTTTCCAGAGCCCAAACCCAGTCCTAAGAATCAAATTATAGAATATTAAAATGTAGAATAAAATGATTACATATTACTATGTATATTTCTTTCCCCATACTAGTACCTGAAATTAAATCATCTTTCTGATGACACACAGTTTTGGATTCATGGAAATTAATCTAATGTTTTCAAAGATGTCTTGATATTTTTTAGTAGTTGAATTCAGCAATATGGAATACACAAAAAGTGTATATCATTTATTAAGTAGATACTTTCTTAAGCAATCATGGTGTTAGGTACTTTATCTAATTCTCATAGTAAAAATCCAGTTATCCTCATTTTTTAGGAGATAAAGCCAAGCCTCACAGAAAGTAATACCTGGCCTATAATGCCTTTGAGAAATTAAATACTTTTCTAAGTTTACACAATAAGAAAGACTAGGATTATATACCTGACCATCTAAATCCAAAGTCTTTCTAACATGTCTTGTTTCCTCTGAATTAGTAGCTGTAAGCCCCCTGTTAAACTAGATCTCCTAAATGTTCTTATGGGCCTTTGTTTGCTACCTAATTATGACACTTGTTGCCTTAGGTTGTATATTTATCCATTTGCCTCAGTACGTTATAAATATATTAAAGGCAGCAACTTTCTCTTAATCATCTTTGTATGTCTCTTGAATATAGTAGATATACAGTATTGAACTGAAATCGCCACAGCTATTACAACAGTAAATGTATCTAAGCTCTAACTTGTAGGTGTACTTCTGTCAATACAGAATTGGGCTAAGCTTTGTAATTGTTACTGTTCCTTAGCAACGGTTTGCTTTGAACCTCCAACACTGGTTTTTACAAAATTGTCATATATAAAGTCAGTGCTTTATCCCTTAAGTTCTGGTACAGTCAGAAAGCAAAAGTAGCAGACTAAAACAGGATGCTTCATAGGGCTTTGAAATAGATGCTATCATATTTTTATACCTGTTTTCCCTTTCTTTTTGCTTTGCAAGTGGCACTAATTAGTTTTTATTATCATTAAAAATGATACAAATATCAGCCTCTGATTTGAAATAAAGTGAATAACATTTATTAAAAACTAATTTTTTTTTCTTGAAATGGAGTTTCACTCTTGTTGCCCAGGCTGGAGTGCAGTGGCATGATCTCAGCTCACTGCAACCTCCACCTCTGGGGTTCAAGCAATTCTCCTGCCTCAGCCTCCCAAGTAGTGGGATTATAGGCACCCACCACCATGCCCGGCTAATTTTTTGTATTTTTAGTAGAGATGGGATTTTACCGTGTTGGGTAGGCTGCTCTCGAACTCCTAACCTCAGGTGACCTGCCTGCCTCGGTCTCCCAAAGTGCTGGGATTACAGGTGTGAGCCACCATGCCCGGTTTAAAAGCTAAATATTTTAGTACTTATAGCTAAGTACTATTGCCTATAATCAGTATTTTGTTGTAGAGATGAAAGAATTTACATTAGATAGAATTCTGTTCTGCCTTTTAACTATGCCTTTGGAATGTTCATTTTATTTGTCATTTATTTCATATTTATATAGATGATACTGCTCTGTGTTTATGACATGAAAGTTGAGGAAGAATAACTTACTTGAAAAGTATGCAGCAGTACCAATAATTCTATTAGTATTGACTTTTTTTTTTTCTTTTTCTTTTTTGAAACAGAGTCTCACTCTGTAACCCAGGCTGGAGTGCAGTGGCACGATCTTGACCCACTGCAATTTCCATCTTGCGGGTTCAAGTGATTCTCCTGCCTCAGCCTCCCAAGTAGCTGTGACTACACCACCATGCCTGGCTAATTTTTGTATTTTTACTAGAGACATGGTTTCATCACGTTGGCCAGGACTTGGTCTTGAACTCCTGGCCTCAAATAATCTGCCGCCTCAGCCTCCCAAAGTGCTAGGATTTCAGGTGTGAGCCACCGTGCCTGGCCAGTGTTGACATTTTGATCTTGTTCAAGGAATTAAAGATTCATCCAAATTATACATTTTGAATTTTGAATACTACATTTAATTTTACCAATATCTAACATGTGTGAGATATTGGTCTAGTATGGAAATCCAAAAATGAATAAGGCTTCTCTAGCTGTAAGGCATTTGTAGCCTAGTTGGGGAAGACAGACCATAAACAACTATGTGTGATCCAATATAGAAAGAAATAAATTATAAATAAAATGTAAATTATTGGCCAAGGGAAAATAATAAAAAAGAATAATAAATTCTGACTTAAAAATTTAGGAGAGATATCAGTAAGAAAAACTTTAAAGTAGAAGTGGGGTTTCCAAAGAAATGAAGAAAGTAGTAACTCTGCTAAGAGAATAGTCTGAGCCTATGCCTGGAATTGTGAACAATGCATGGTATGTAATTCACTGTAGCTAGAGCCTAGTGTATATGAAGGAACACACAGAGAGATAAATAATATAGATATGGAATTGTTTTTCCTTAAAATTATTTTGAAGGAACCTCACCCTCCAAGATTATCAGCAGAAGAAGCAGTACAGAAGCCGACCAAAATAGACACTTCGACCCTAAACCTGTTTCAACACCTCCCTGAACTCAAGTCATTTTTTATAGAGGTAATATCCAGCTTGGTTATATCAAAGGGTTTTGTCTAAATTCTGTACATTTTAAAGTTCTTTTACTATTTAATGGGAAGGAAGGATTATAATATTTAATTCAAGACATTAAATTATATCGTAATCATCTGTTCTTCGATTTGTAAAAGATTTTTATTGAAAGCTTTTATTTGCTGCTGAGTGGTAGTCTGAAATGTTTTTCTTGGCTTTCTTTCATCTACTTCATATTTTCCTGACAGGGAAGACAAATAATTTGATTTAAAATGCTTTCTGTGACTGTCAAGATGATATGTAGAGAGAATAATAGCTCTTAATTATAATATCTGCTCATATATAAAATAGGTCCTAATAAGTCACATTGTTAATTGATAGAATGAGTAGTCAAGTAAAACAGCAATAGTTAGTGGTATATATAATTGAAAGAGTTTAAATAAAAAACTCAAATGTTTAAATATACGTATTGAATTACTTTGGGAAATTTAGAATGTGATTACAAAATGCATTCATACCTGTGAATGTAGTTAGGACAGATAGCACCCTTCACAAAAAGAAAATTGAAGATAAAAAGTTGCTAAGATTAGATTAAAGATATACATAGAACAGTATTTGCAATACACTAGAGGTTGGTAAACTTTTCAAATAACTTATTTGAAAGTTTCAAATAACTTATTTGAAAAGTATGCAGCAGTGAGATAGGTCTAACTGGTAACTATTCTGGGCTTTTCAGGCCAAAAGGCAAAATCAAAGATATTCTGTAGGTGCATATATAACCCCTTAAAATGTAGTCATCTAAAAATATAAAATCTATTCTTAGTTCACTCACTGCCTACAAAACAGGTGGTGGGCTGGCTTTGTCCCACAGGCTGTAGTTTGTAAAACCCTGCATTAGAGTACCACTGCAATGTGTTTCTCAGATTCAATACCATGGGAAAATGAATTATCAAAAATAGAATTTTTTGATAGGATTTGTTTGCTGCTGAGTGGTGGTCTGAACTGTTTTTCTTGGCTTTCTTTCATCTACTTCACATTTTCTTCACAAGGAAGAGCAAATAATTTGATTTAAAATGCTTTTTGTGACAGTCAAGATGATATATAGATGGAAAAATAGCTCTTAATTATAATGCCTGCTCATATATAAAATAGGTCCTAATTAAGTCACATTGTTAGTTGATAGAATGAGTAGTCAAATAGAACAGGAATAGAATTACTCTACAAAATAGAATTTTTTGATAATTCATTTCTCATGGAATTCAACAGGTAGTTGTATACATGGCTCATGAGATTTATTACAGTGCAAGGATACAAAGCAACATCAGCAAAGGGAGAAGGCACATGGTGTGAAGTCCAGGGGAAGGCAGACACAGGTGTCCAAGAGACCTTTCCTAGTGGAGTCACATAAGATATACTTAATTATTTCAGTAATGAAATGCGGAAACACATTTTTTGTCATCAGAGAAGTTCAGTAGAGACCCAGTGCCCAAGGTTTTTATTGGAGGCTGGTCATGTATATATACATCCCTCTGCCTAGCACATACCAAAATTCCATACTGCAGAAGTAAAACAAGTGTTTAGCATAAACCATACTATTTGCACAAACAGTCTAGGTGTAACGAGACACCCTTATCATTGAGGGAAAGTTTTATGTCAGTATAAGGAGGAACTGTTTGCCAGCCAGGTTCTAGGTGCCAACCAAAGGCCAGTCTTGCAAGTAGGCCTTTCTATAATAATGATGGCAGTCTCAGGCCTTAACTCTTTACTGCATGAGAGCAACACATGAGACCGTATTTGACCCATAATCTGATGGACATGCAATACTATATTTATTCTGTAAGGCCAATAGAAGTATTTTTATTATATCTAATCATTTGTAACTTATTTTGTAATATAGTACATTCCAAGTTCCATCTGGAGGTGCAGCAGCAAGAAATTTGCCCTTCTTAGTACCCACCATGTCACATAGTGGTTTTCCCCAGGACACATTCAGTATCTAGATCAGTATAAAGAGCACAATAGATTTCCTTGGGTACCAGTAACTTGTTAATCCCTTTTCATTTTCATTAGAGGTATTTCCCCATATATTCATATGAAAAGAGAAGGGCTTTTGTAGATCATCTCTTCATAGGTTTTCAAGTCATGAAGAAAGTAGATGCAGTAGTGAAAGCAATGGCTTAATAAATGGATTTTTTTCAGGCATCATTTTCATTTAGCTTGTTCAAATGGAAGTCATTCTTCTCTGGATTAATTCAAAATGTGAAGAGAAAAGATAATCGCCAACTTTTTATAATTTTATAAATTATAATTAATTTCAGAATTTGTTACTTAATTCCTATTAAGTTCTTAGAACAACACCTGATACATAGTACATACCCAATAATTTTATCATTTACTAGTAAATGTTAGGTATCACTTATGAACTATTGTCACATCAAGGAACCGAGTTCAAATTATTGTTCTCTTTCTCATTGTTATGAGATAATGGCAGATATTATCTGAGAACTGTCTTTATTTTATGGTACTACTTTGGCTTTCAGGAAATACCCCAGTTAATGGGTTAGATGTATTTTTTAAAAGTTAGACCCAAAAGGAAATTTTTATAAATTGTGACTAATTTTCTCATTTGTCTTATTTGAGAAACATGTTCTTATATAGGATCCATATTTTCTGTTTTATTTTTTATTTTTTATTTTTTTTTTGAGTGGAGTTTCGCCCTTGTTACCCAGGCTGGAGTGCAATGGCGCGATCTCGGCTCACCGCAATCTCCGTCTCCTGGGTTCAGGCAATTCTCCTGCCTCAGCCTCCCGAGCAGCTCGGATTACAGGCACGCACCACCATGCCCAGCTAATTTTTTGTAATTTTAGTAGAGACGGGGTTTCACCATGTTGACCAAGATGGTCTCGATCTGTTGACCTCGTGATCCACCCGCCTCGGCCTCCCAAAGTGCTGGGATTACAGGCTTGAGCCACCGCGCCCGGCCCATATTTTCTGTTTTATATTTATGTCAGTATAACTTAGGGTAGTTTCTAAATCATTGGCTGTTTTAAATGATTGCTGCTTTTTGATCTCTTTTTAACAGCAGAGTAGTTGAACAGAAGGTGATGGGTTTCAGAAGTGTCATGTATGTCATGTATACATGGTATATGATTCCTTTTCTTAATTTTAAATTAATTGTTTATATACTTCAAGAGAATAAAATGATGTATCACAGGATTCATCCTTATTTAAAGAAATAGAAGTTTTCAGTAATTTGTACCTAATAAAGATGAGCAGAATCAGCCACTAAACCTTTTTTATTTTATAGGGGATTAGTGATGGTATTCCACTATTAAAGGCCACTGTCCCCAAAAATCAGTATCGTTCTTTTATGTCTCAAGGCAGCCCTGAGTTACTGGTAAGTTGATTTTTACCTTTTTCACACTGTCATGTCTGTATGTATTATAACTTGGGGGAAAAAAAGAGGAAGGAGATTCTGCACATGTACCCCAAAACCTAAAATGCAATTAAAAAAAAAAGAGGAAGGAGGAAGTAAATTTTTTTGTTTTGTTTTTATTTTTTATTGTACTTTAAGCTCTGGGGTACATGTGCACATCCTGCAGGATTGTTGCATAGGTACACACATGCCATGGTAGTTTGCTGTCTCCATCCCCCCATCACCTACATCAGGCATTTCTCTCAGTGTTATCCCTCCCCAACCTCCTCGCCCCCTACTGTTCCTCCCCTCCCCTCCCCCCTGCCTTCCCCCGCACCGCCTACCCCCATGTGTGATGTTCCCTTCCCTATGCCCATGTTTTCTCATTGTTCATCAGCCGCCTGTGAGTGAAAACATGCAGTGTTTGGTTTTATGTTCTTATGTCAGTTTGCGGAGAATTATGATTTCCAGATTCATCCATGTCACTACAAAGGACATGAACTCATCCTTTTTTGTGGCTGCATAGTATTCTATGGTGTATATGTGCCACATTTTCTTTGTCCAGTCTATCACTGATGGGCATTTGGGTTGTTTCCAGGTCTTTGCTATTGTAAACAGTGCCAAAGTGAACATACATGTGCATGTATCTTTATAATAGAATTATTTACAATCCTTTGGGTATCTACCCAATAATGGGATTGCTGGGTCAAATAGTGTTTCTATTTCTAGATCCTTGAGGAATCGCCATATTGTCTTCCACAATGGTTGAATTAATTTACACTCTGACCAACAGTGTAAAAGTGTTCCCATTTCTCCACATCCTCTTCAGCATCTGTCGTCTCCAGATTTTTTAATGATTGCCATTCTAACTGGCATGAGATGGTATCTCAATGTGGTTTTTGATTTGCATTTCTCTAATGACTAGTGATGATGAGCATTTTTTCATATGTTTGTTGGCCTCATAAATGTTTTCTTTTGAAAAGCGTCTGTTCATATCCTTCACCCACTTTTGAATGGGTTTGTTTGTTTGTTTCTTGTAAATCTGCTTTAGTTCTTTGTAGATTCTGGATATTAGCCCTTTGTCTGATGGGTAGCTTGCAAAAATTTTTCCCCATTCTGTTGGTTGCCGGTTCACTCTAGTGATTCTTCAGAAACTCTTGAGTTTAATTAAGTCCCATTTGTCTATTTTGGCTTTTGTTGCCATTGCTTTTGGTGTTTTAGTCATGAAGTCCTTGCCTATGCCTATGTCCTGAATGGTATTGCCTCGGTTTTCTTCTAGGGTTTTTATGGTGTTAGGTCTTATGTTTAAGTCTTTGATCCATCTGGAGTTAATTTTAGTGTAGGGTGTAAGGAAGGGTCCAGTTTCAGCTGCTTATGGCTAGCCAGTTTTCCCAACACCATTTATTAAACAGGGAATCCTTTCCCCATTGTTTTTTTTTGTCAGGTTTGTAAAAGATCAGATGGTTGTAGATGTGTGGCATTACTTCTGAGGTCTCTGTTCTGTTCCATTGGTCTATGTCTCTTGTTTTGGTACCAGTACCATGTTGTTTTGATTACTGTAGGCTTGTAGTATAGTTTGAAGTCTGGTAGTGTGATGCCTCCAGCTTTGTTCTTTTTGCTTAGGATTACCTTGGCTATGTGGGCTCTTTTTTGGTTCCATATGAAGTTTAAGGTGGTTTTTTCCAGTTCTGTGAGGAAGGTCAGTGGTAGCTTGATGGGGATAGCGTTTAATCTATTAATTACTTTGGGCAGTATGGCCATTTTCACGATATTGATTGGAAGTAAATATTTTTTAAAAGCCACTTTATGGCTGTGCACAGTGGTTCATGCCTGTAATCCCAGCACTTTGGGAAGCTGAGACAAACAGATTGCCTGAGCCCAGGATTCAAGACTAGCCTAAGTAACATGGGGAAACCCTGTCTCTACAAAAAAATACAAAAAATTAGCTGGGCATGGTGGTGTGTACCTGTAGTCTCAAGTACTCGGGAGGCTGAGGTGGGAGGATCACCTGAGCCCTGGAAGTCAAGATTCCAGTGAGCCGTGATCATACTGCTGCATTCCAGCCTGGAGAACAGAGTTGGATCGTGTCTCAAAAAAAAAAAAAAAACCAAAAAAAAACAAAACACATTTTTAAAATAGAGAAAATTTTTGTAGAATTAATTCAGCCAAGTATAAAAACAAAACTTCTGTTAAACAGCTTTTATTTTATGTAGTTACTGTAATTCTAAAGTTTATCTGGAAGAGTAAATATGTAAAAATAACCAGGAAATGTTATATAAGAAAAATAGGGGATAACATTTTATATTAAAATTTATTGTGAGACTATAATAATAAGAAATAATGTAGAATTAAAATGTACATGCAGGACACTTTAGTGAGTATTTTACATGAATTTTTATTGAATCATCTAACAATCTTGTGAGATAAACACTATTAATTATTTCGCTTCTATAGATAAAAAGTTAAAACTCAGGAAAGTAACTTGCCCAAGGTCACATGGATAGCAAATGAGGGATCTGGGACCTTGACACAGAGCCCAAACCTAGATCTGTCTTATTTTAATTTTATCATTTAGAAATAATAAAAATGTGAGTATAACACAGTGAATAGTAGAGATCCAGAATTTGACCTATTTTTGGAATTACACAGTGTGTTTGTTCAGAAAAATAATAGGGGATAACATTTTATATTAAAATTTATTGTGAGACTATAATAATAAGAAATAATGTAGAATTAAGATGTACATGCAGGACACTTTAGTGAGTATTTTACATGAATTTTTATTGAATCATCTAACAATCTTGTGAGATAAACACTGTTAATTATTTCGCTTCTATAGATAAAAAGTTAAAACTCAGGGAAGTAACTTGCCCAAGGTCACATGGACAGCAAATGAGGGATCTGGGACCTTGGCACAGAGACCAAACCTAGATCTGTCTTATTTTAATTTTATCATTTAGAAATAATAAAAATTTGAGTATAACACAGTGAATAGTAGAGATCCAGAACTTGACCTATTTTTGGAATTACACATAGTGTGTTTGTTCAGAAAAATAAAATCTAAAAAGATATACAAAAATAGTCCGGGCACAGTGGCTCATGCCTGTAATCCCAGCACTTTGGGAGGTGAAGGTGGGCAGATCACGTGAGGTCAGGACTTCAAGACCAGCTTGGGCAACATTGTCACCCAGACTGGCATGCCAATCACAGCTCACTGCAACCTTGACCTCCTGGGCTCAGGTGACCCTTCCACCTCAGCCTCTTGAGTAGCTGGGACTGCAGGTACACACCACCATGGTTGTCTAATTTTTGTATTTCTTTTGTAGAGATCAGGTTTTGCCCTGTTGCCCAGGCTAGTCTCAAACTCCTGAGCTCAAGTGGTCCTCCCACCTGAGTCTCACAAAGTGCCTGTGTTTTTTTAAAGTTACCAGAATTTCCTTTGTGGGGGAGGTCACTGTTACTTTTATAATCAAGAGGATAAGAGCTTTTTGTTTTGAAGAGAACTTACTCACTATGACTGTCACTACAAGGAAACCTTAACAATTCATTGTAAATTCTGCTTCTGATTTATGTTCTAAATGATATATATTATATTTTTATGGTAAGACTGGCACCTGAATTTCTTCCAACTGCCAGCTAATAAGTGCCAATAAACTTTGAGAAATCATGAGAAAAAATAATCTTCCTAAAGAAAAACAAATTGGGCCGAGCACAGTGGCTCACACCTGTAATCCTAGCACTTTGGGAGGCTGAGGTAGGTGGATAGCTTGAGCTTAGAAGTTTGAGATCAGTCTGGGCAACATGGCAAAACCCCATGTCTACCAAAAATACAAAAAAGTAACCAGGCGTGGTGGTGCCTGCCTGTAGTCCCAGCTACTCAGGAGGCTGAGGTTGGAGGATTGCTTGAGCCCAGGAGGTTTTAAGTGAGCTGTGATCATCCCACTGCACTCCAGCCTAGGTGACAGAGCAAGACCCTATCTCAAAAACAAAAAAAAAAATTGGACAAGTCTTCTTACAATAAGATAAACAAGGCCAGGTGTGGTGGCTCATGCCTGTCATTCCAACACTTTGGGAGGCCGAGGTGAGAGGCCAGGAGTTGGAGACTAGCTTGGGCAACACGATGAAACCATGTCTCAACAAAAAATACAAAAATTAGCCGGGCATGGTGGCACATGCCTGAAGGTTGCAGTGAGCTGAGATCATGTCGCTATGCTCCAGCTTGAGCAACAGAGTGAAACCCTGGCTCAAAAAATAAAAGATAAACAAAGAGCTTTTTCTGTTTGAATTATTTTAAAATGTTCTTAATGAGTTTTGTGTTTGAAGTACACAGTCTTACAGTATTCCCTAAGTGATAAATGCCAGTGTCATGTGAGCATCTGGCTATTCTGGGTTATTCTGTGCTGCTTTCCTTAATCTTTCATTTAATTTGAGTCTTCATATGTTCTTTTCCAGATAACAATAAGTATGAATTATGTAATTGGAACCCATGGATGGTTGCCTTATGACAGAAACATTTCTAATTACTTTACATTCATCAAGGATCAAACTGTGACAAATCCGAAGTAAGTAAATGAATATTTAAAGCAAAACAGCTATACCAGGTACCTTATTGCCAGGAAAACAACTGGATTAATTGATTCACATTATTCTGAAAGTAATGTTTTTTGTTTTTTTGAGAAGAGTGTCACTCTGTCACCCAGGCTGGAGTGCAGTGGCACAAGCTCAACTCACTGCAACCTCTGCCTCCCAGGCTCAAGTGATTCTCTGGCTAATTTTTTTTCTTTTTTTTTTTTTTTTTTTTAGTAGAGCTCGGGTTTCACCATGTTGGCCAGGCTGGTCTCAAACTCCTGACCTCAAATGATATGCCTACCTCGGCCTCCCAAAGTGCTGGGATTACAGGCATCAGCCACCCTTCCTGGCCCTGAAAGTAATGTTTTGAGATCAAACTGTCTCTTCTTCCTTCCCTCCCTCCCTCCCTCCCTCCCTCCCTCCCTCCCTTCCTTCCTTCCTTCCCTTTCCCTCTCTCCATTCCCTCCCCTCCCAAGCCTTCCCTTATTTTTAAGTTCTGTCCTGAATTTATATTGGTTTAAATATAAACTTAATTTCCATAATATCCGTTATAGAAATAAAATTACATTAGGAATAATAGACTTCCTTGTAATTTCATTCTACCTTATTTAAAAATAAAACCTATGTATTTTGATCTTTAAAAGTTATGTTCTAACTTAAAGCTGTGCTTCCCTTACACTGAGTTATCCTATTTATTTGCTTATATTTTTTTCTGGTTAAATCACATTCATGACCAGGCACAGTGGCTCATGCCTGTAATCCCAGCACTTAGGAGGCTGAGGCCTGTAGATTACCTGAGGTCAGGAATTCAAGACCAGCCTGGCCAACATGGCAAAACCCCGTCTCTACTAAAAATACAAAAGTTAGCCAGTCATGATAGTGAGCACCTATAATTCAAGCTACTTGGGAGGCTGAGACAGGAGAATCACTTGAACCCAGGAGACAGAGGTTGCAGTGATTTGAGATTGTGCCACTGCACTACAGCCTGGACAACAGAGTGAGACTCTGTCTCCAAAAAAACTAAAAATAAAATTTGAAAATCACATTCAGTCTTGAGGGTCACATTATACCATATATTTTAAAACTATAATGATATAATTGTTATCATATCTTTGTCTTCCTCAACTAGAATACAACTCCCTAAGATTCAGGGCAATGTCTTTTTTTCTTATCCTCATAGTACTATTATGTTTTGTAAGAAGCATATTCTCAGCAAATTAATATTGAATAATAAAGTTTTATAGCTAGAGTAAGAGAATTAGTGTGTGTATTTTCTGTATACACAATGAAGTGTAATCACTTGTCTTTCTGCAGAATCTAGATTGGCTAAGCTCATAGGTATTGCACTTGGAAGCTGATAAAACCAGCATGCTTGCTTTGGTTCAAAAGGAGAACGGTCATCATGAGTGTTGTTAGATACACACTTATCTGCCTGATTTATCTCCTACGCATCACCTTGTGTAGTACATCCCTGGTTTAAGTTTATTTCTGATATTCCTAGTGCTGGCATATCTTGTCTTGCCTTTAAACTTTAAGGCTGCCATTTACAAAATCGCCAGTTTTATTCAGTTGTCTTTGAAAGCCAAGATTGAAGCTTTTTTTCCACACTTCCACTGATCGCAACGTTTTGCTTAGCACTTAAGGCTATTATGTATATTCTTATTTTATAAAAAACATTGTAGTGAGATAACACATTTTCTGAAAGTCTGTCGTTTATTAATAGACATTTACAAATAGGGCATTTGGGACTAATTTTTTATTTCTTTTTTAGAGATGTTTAAAAAGAATAGTTTATATCAGTGTAAGTGATCTTTTAAGGAAAAGTCTAATTTTTGTGTTTACAGAACTCAGCGCAGTATGAATGGTCCTTTTGCTCCTGGGCTAGAGGTCACTTCTAAGCTATTTGTAGTATCACATGATGCAAAGTTGCTCTTCAGTGCTGGATACTGGGATAATAGCATTCAAGTGATGTCACTTACAAAAGGCAAAATTATCTCACACATCATCCGGCATATGGGTAAGCATTAACTTTTTTTCCAAGAACACCCCCCAATTTTTTTTTCTTAACTGTAAAAGTAGTACATGCTCCTTGTAAAGAGCACTAAATTTTACCTTTGAAGCTGAGTGAACTTTGTGATTGTGTAGGATTATAAATATATGCTTTCTATAGGAATATATCATGTATTTTGGATATAATAAAGCACCATGTAAATTTAATAAAGCTTCATAGTATCTGGAAAATGTTAAGCTACGTTTTTTTTTAATGGGTGATAAAGATAAGAATTTTAAGACAAAATAGTAGCAAAATCTGTTGTCATTTAATAAGACATCAACTGCCCTATTACTATGTTAACAGTTAAACATGAGAGTGATAAAATTCTTGAATGTAGTTTTAACTTGCTACTTCTTAGTGTCTCAGTCTTCAGTATAAGAATAAAACATTGAGTATATTTTTTTCTTTAAGCCTGTCAGGGAAGGAAAATGGAGTCTGCTGCCCATTCTGTACCAGTCAGTTCTAAGATATCACTTAGCTCAGCTGTTTATAGTTTAGAAAAAATATATTTTGTATTGCAAATTTATAGTATAGTATGTATAGTTTTTCTAAGGACACATATTTTATAGGATAACAATTCCCAATGGGAGTAGAAGGTAAAGGGATGAGAAAGCAAAGAAGCATATGAAAATTAACTGGGGATCTATTTCAAACTATCTAACCTCCTCCCAAGATTGTGGTAGTCATTCCCCATACTGCGTGTCTACTTCTCATGCTCAAAAAAGGGTGATTTCAAAGAAAGCTCTCCAATGTGATTTTGACACTGCTGCTTTCCTGTGTTACTCTTGGCCAGTGCTTTTCCAGTAATGCCTACATTCCCCCCTGTTGGTATCACTGCTTTAGGAATAGTTAGAACATTAACATAAATTGCTCTTTAAGTTCTATTCTAGCAAAACCAGGTATTTCATTTTATTTTATTCCTTTTCTTACAGATATTGTGACTTGCTTGGCTACAGATTACTGTGGAATACATTTGATTTCTGGTTCCAGAGATACTACATGTATGATATGGCAAATAACACAACAGGTAGTCACATATTTAAATGTTCTTGGTTTAGATCAGAGATTCACCCTGAGAATACTAGCGAAATCTTCTGCTAAGACATCAGATTGTTTTCTGGCAGTGACTGAGCTCCTTTGTATTCTTTTTACCCACATTTTGTCCTGTCCAAATCACCACATTTTTTCCTAGGTTTACTGTCTGATTCATTACTTATTCTCTATTACTTTCCAAAGATTCTTCCTTTTTACCTCTGTTAGGAAAACAGTAATTATTTTTATTGTCTTATTAGTATGGTAACATTTCTACTTTCTTTCTTGTGGGACTACTATAAATTATAGATTTATAGTCTTCATCAACCTTATTGCATTCTCATAATAATATTGTCCCAGGAAGTATCATTTTTGTTAAATAGCTTCTGTTTTCTTTTCTTTTTTCAGATGGAGTCTCGCTCTGTCACCCAGACTGGAGTGCAATGACATGATCTTGGCTTACTGCAACCTTTGCCTCCAGGGTTCAAGCGATGCTCCTGCCTTAGCCTCCCATGTAGCTGGGATTACAGGCATGTGCCACCACACCTAGCTAATCTTTTTTTTCTTTGTATTTTTAGTAGAAATGGGGTTTCACCATGTTGGCCAGGCTGGTCTCAAACTCCTGCCCTTCAGTGATCCGCCCACCTCAGCTTCCCAAAGTTCTGGGATTACAGGCGTGAGCCACCGTGCCCAGCCAGCTTCTATGTTTTCTACATTGTCTTAATTAACAGGCTTTCTCCCACTCCAAATTTATTAAAAGTATCTAGAAATTTCTTCCATGTAAAAAATCTAGCACAGCATGGTGGCACATGCCTATAGTCCTAGCTGCAATACATGGGAGGCTGAGGTGGGAGGATTGCTTGAGCCAGGGAAGCAGAGGCTGCAGTGAGCCGAGATCCTGACACTGCACTCCAGCCTGGGTGAGAGAGCAAGATTCTGTCTCAAAAAAATTTGTTTTCTTCTAATTTTTTTGTTTTATTTCTTATATTATAATCTTTAATTTATTGATAATTTGTTTCTCTACATCATATAAGGCTTTGTTTACTTCTAAATAGGAAGCCATTTATGTCAGCATTAATTATTAAGTAAGTCACCTTTACCCACTGAATTAGATCTTTTTCTAGATTCTTCATCGTTTGCACTTAAAGTGTAATTTCTCAGCTAGTCTTATATAGATATTTATTTTTACATATGAACTTTTGTTTAACCATACCCTCTTTTTTAAAAACTCCATTTTAGTCTTACTCAAAGTGTATTTAATTTATATGTTAATTTGGGTTGAGTTTTGGGGTGTTTTGTTTTGTTTTGTTTGAGACAAGGTCTCACTCTGTCATCCATGCTGGAGTGCAGTTGCACCATTATGGCTCACTGTGGCCTTGACCTCCCAGGCTCAAGCAATTCTCACTTCTCAGACTCCCAGGTAGCTGGGACTCCAGGCATGTACCACCACACCTGGCTAGTTTTTGTATTTTTAGTAGAGACAAATGATTGTCTCTGCCACGTTACCCAGGCAGGTTTTGAACTCCTGTGCTCAAGTGATCTGCTCACCTCAGCCTTCCAATAAATTGGCATATTTTTACAGCTGTTTATTTACAGAAATAGGAAGTGTCTTTCCATGTTTGTTTCGGGTCCTTTTTATGTCCTTTGATCAAATTTCTTTCTAACTTTTTCATTTAGATCCCATACTTTGTGATATTTACTTCTAATTATCATGTTTTTTATTACTATTTTTAATAGGGTTTTAAAAATCATTTTCACTTCTGATTATTGTTAGTATAAAGAAAAACTTTACAGTGATTTGACTGATTTCTGTACAATTATCTTATATCCAATTACTTTGCCAAATCCTCTTATCACCATTCATGCTTATTAGTATTTCTTGGTTTTTCTGAAAATAAGGTAGATAATACAATCATGTGATCTGAAAGTAAAAGTGATTTGCTTTATCTTCTCATATACTAGTTATTTCATTTTCTTACATTACGTTGTTAGCTAATACAATAAGGTAAGCAAAATTATAATGAGCATCCTCACTCTTTGTCTAATTTTGATGAAAATGCCTTCAGATTGTATAGTGTTTGCTGTTAGGTTTCACTAGTTGTGTTTTTCACATTTAAGTATTTAGCTTCCTTCTATTATTTTTTTATTTTGGTAACTTTATAGTTTTAATTAAATTTTAAACTTGTAAAAAATTGGCAAAATATGGTATATTTTGTATCATGTGTCTTAGCAGTCTCTTTTAGTATCTCCATCTTACAGCATCTTATTTTTTTAACCATTCGAAAGTTGGAGATACCATGTTCCTTCATCCCTAAACATGTCAGTGTATATTTTCTAAGATAAAGACAATCTTATACATAACCCTAGTGAAGTTATCAACATCAGAATGCTTAACATTTATACCATACCATTAGCTAATCAACAGTCTACATTCTAATTTTATATTTCCATAATGGTCTTTACAGCTGTTTTTCCCAGTTTATCTTATTTATAGTTTTTCTCTTTTTCTTGATAATAATGTATTATGTTAAGAAATTTCCTAGGTTTGAACCATCCTTGAATTTTTATAATAAACCCACATAATTTATGGTATATTGTATTGTTATTACACTTTACTGTTGTATCTTATTACCTAGTACTTTAATAATTTCTCTACTCTTTTTCTTTTTTTTTTTTTTTTTGAGACGGAGTTTCACTCTTGTTGCCCAGGCTGGAGTACAATGGTGCCATCTCAGATAACCGCAACTGCTACCTCCCAGATTTAAGTGATTCTTCTGCCTCAGCCTTCCGAGTAGCTGGGATTACAGGCGCGTGCCACCACACCCAGCTAATTTTGTATTTTTAGTAGAGACAGGGTTTCTCTATGTTGCTCAGGCTGGTCTTGAACTCTCAACCTCAGGTGATCCGCCCACCTCAGCCTCCCAAAGTGCTGGGATTAAAGGCTTAAGCCACTGCGCCCAGCCAATTTCTCTACTCTTAAGTAAAATAGATCTTTTTGTTCTATCTTTATCATGTTTTGTATGGGGATATGCAGTCTTTACCAGATAAATTCAGGAAGGGTTCCTCTTTCTCTAGAACTGGAATTACTTCCATAGTGTAGGAATTACCTCCATAGTGTAGGAATTACCTGAGTTTTTTATAAGTTAAATATAGTGCACTAAGCACTCAGACTGTTATTCACAGGAAAAGACAAATTTGTCACAGGTAGCAGAATGTCAAGGGAAATTAATGTACACTGTATGGAACAGGTAGAATGTCTGGGCAGAGTTGTCTAGGATAATCACATATATAAGTAGCAACTATTCAGATAAAACAAATAACATACAACTATTTGTATGCTAATGACAAAGCATGCTAAAGACATGAAAAAAGAATCTTCTGGACGATAACTCAAAGAGCAATTTTTTTGCAATACAATTGTGTTGTTAGGAAATCATAAGAAAAACAGTTCAATAAAATGGAAGATAAAGATAAAATGATAAAATAGCATCATAAGATGTAAACGAAGATTGCAGAAGAATCAAGCTGAGATTAAAACCAATATCATTACATATTCCATAAGTATATATACCTACTGTGTACCCACAATTTTTTTTTTTTGAGATGGAGTCTTGCTGTTGCCCAGGCTGGAATGCAGTAGTGCAATCTCAGCTCACTGCAACCTCCACCTCCCTGGTTCAAGTGATTCTTCTGCCTCATCCTCATGAGTACCTGGGACTACAGGTATGCGCCACCACACTCAGCTAATTTTTTTTATTTTTAGTAGATATCGGATTTTGTCATATTGGCCAGGCTGGTCTTGAACTCCTGACTTTGTGATCCGTCCGCCTTGGTCTTTCAAAGTGCTGGGATTACAGGTGTAAGCAACCATACGTACCCTCACAAATTTTTTTTTAAAAGGCTACAGCCAAGACTTATACAAAAATACCATTAGAAACAAATAAACCTGAAGCAGAATCAAGAAAGAGATTTGATGTGGCTGAAAACCAAATTAGTGGCATGGAAAAAAAAAGATGTAATCAAAGTGAAAGCCAATAAAAAGATAACTTTAAAGCACTTAGAGAAAGAACGATAGCTAGAAAATCAAAGACAGTCAGCATAAAGGTAATTTTTGTCCCTGAAGTAGCAATCCCTATAAATGGAAAAATTATTCAGTCAGACGTGGGGGCTAACACCTACAATCACAGCACTTTGAGAGACTGAAACTGAAGAATTGCTTGAGCCGAGGAGTTTGAGACCAGCCTGGGCAACATGACAAGACCCCTTATCTCTACAAAAAAAAATTTTTTTTTAATTAGCCAGGCATAGTGGCACATGCCTGTGGTCACAGTTATTCAGGGAGGCTGAGGTGGGAAGATCAGTTGAGTCCAGGGGGTTAAGGATACAGTAAGCCTGGGCAACAGAATGAGACCCTGTCTCAAACAAATAAAGTTATTCAGAGATATAACACAAAAGGTTTATTTGAAGTTAAGGAAGAATAAATCTGTAGATTAAAAGGGAGATAACATACTTGGAAAAATTAATCCAAGACTGCCAACATTGCTACAATTTAAGTTTTTGAGCTTCAAGATAGAGAATAATTCAGAAATCCAAGTGGAACTATAAGAATAAGTACTATTATGAATAGACTCAGTGGTTGTAACTAGTTGCAATGTTAGTTTGTAATTAGAACATTTAAATGCAATATGAACCTTGCGAAAAACAGGAAACAATAAGCCACCTTTACCTTTGCTTTTCTCTTTTATTATTAGGGAGGTGTTCCTGTGGGCCTAGCATCTAAACCTTTTCAGATTCTTTATGGACACACCGATGAGGTATTGAGTGTCAGCATCAGCACTGAGCTAGACATGGCAGTGTCAGGATCAAGGGTAAGATTTCACCTTTAAGAAATACTAATTATTTTATCTACAAATTTATTAGCAACATTTATAACTAAAAAGTTTTTCAGAGGAATTGATAAAAGTATTGAAATGTTATACCATATTTGTATAGGACTTTGCAAAAGTAGAATAGACTTTGCAAAAGAAAGAAAAAACTGAATGCTATTCTGGGATTTTATTGGTTTTATTTAAGGCAAGAGGGTATTCTAGGAAATAAAATATGATTTGAAATTTCAAGGTGGGAATTTTTCCTAAGGTACATATATTCTTGATGGAATAATCATTTTCTCAGTTCCTTTTCCGCATTTCTTTATCTAGCCCATTCTACTTTTATTCTTTTTTGCTGTTTTTTTTCCTTTGTCTTTTTCATTTTCTGGAATTTTCTGTGTGTAGGATGGAACTGTGATTATACATACGATTCAGAAAGGTCAGTACATGAGGACGTTACGACCACCTTGTGAAAGTTCTCTGTTCCTGACCATTCCCAATTTGGCTATATCTTGGGAAGGACATATTGTTATCTACTCCAGCATTGAAGAAAAGACCACCCTCAAGGTACATGACCTTTCATGCAATAGGGGTAGACTCTTAATAGTGTATTGGTCCCTCCCACATTATAGATGAGGTTTTTTGAAGAAAGATAGAACACCATTTTAAAGAAGATGTTTTTCGTTCATCATTCAGTTGTTCGTTTCATAACATTAGATGTACTTCTTCCACAATCATAGCCTCACATTAGTATTTTATTTTCGGGATTTCTGTTGACCTGTGTAATATATGATTTCAAAATAATTTCTGATTATATAGGATTTTATAAGCTTAAGCGGAAAGTAGAAATGATAGCCAACTGACATTCCTTTTGCATAAGGCAGGGTGTAAATAAACAAGCCCTCAATTTTATGTTTGTTTCCTTTCAGTGACATCACTACTGATTGCTTGATTGATTGTGTGTATGTCTTACTCTGTTGCCCAGGCTGGAGTGCAATGGTGCGATCTCAGCTAATTGCAACCTCCGCCTCCCGGGTTTAGGCAATTCTTCTGTTTCAGCCTCCCAAGTAGCTGGAATTACAGGCACATGCCACAATGTCCAGCTAATTTTTGTATATTTGGTAGAGGTGGGGTTTTGCCATGTTGGCTAGGCTGGTCTTAAATTCCTGACCTCAGGTGATCCGCCTGCCTTGGCCTCCCAAAGTGCTGGGATTATGGACGTGAGCCACCATGCCAGGCCTTATTTTTTACTTTTTTGAGATAGAGTCTCATTATGTTGCTTAGGCTGGAGTGCAGTGATGCAATTATAGCTCCCTTTGGCCTCTAACTCTTGAGCTCAAGTGATCCTCCCACCTCAGCCCCCTCAGTAGCTGGGACTGCCAGCATGTGCCACTAAACCTGGCTAGTTTTTTTTTAATTTTTGGTAGAGCCGAGGTCTCCCTATGTTGCCTAGGCTGGTCTCAAACTCCTGGGCTTAAGCAATCCTCCTGGTTTGGCCTCCCAACGTACTGGGATTACAGACATGAGCCACCATGCTCAGTCTAAGCTTTTTCAATATTAAGAATACTAGGCGTGGTGGCTCATGCCTGAGGCAGGTAATCACCTGGGTCAGGAGTTTGAAACCAGCCTGGCCAACATGGTAAAACCCCGTCTCTACTAAAAATACAAAAATTGGCTGGGCATGGTGGTGCGCATCTGTAATCCCAGCTACTTGGGAGGCTGAGGCAGGAGAATTGCTTGAACCCAGGAGATAGACGTTGCAGTAAGCCAAGATCGTGCCATCTCACTCTAGCCTGGGAGACAAGAGCAAGACCCGGTCTCCAAATAAATAAATAAATAAATAATTTTCTTCTTTTGTTTTAAGAATGTAGGGTATTGTGGAGGGCTGAATGAGATGTTAATTCTTCTTTGGGAGGAGTGAGAATTCTCATTTAACATTTACTTGGCAGTCTGATTTGAAATCACTTTAATAATATTGCCTATGTGCTTGGTCTTTAAATATAGCCATATTTTTATCCCAAATTTTTAAGCCAAATAATTATTCTGCTATAGTCAGAGTTTTAACTGGTAATATAAAAACTCAGTTTTTATTTGAGATTGTTAAATTTTCCTCAATTTTTTACAGGATAAGAATGCATTACATCTGTTTTCTATAAATGGCAAGTATCTAGGGTCTCAAATTTTGAAGGAACAAATATCAGATATATGTGTAATTGGAGAATACATTGTCACAGGAAGCTTACAAGGATTCCTGTCTATAAGAGATCTCCACAAGTAAGTAATAAAAATTAATGACTTATCACTTAAGAAAAGGTGGCAGTACTTCTAGTCTAGAGTGAAAATCAGGAATCTAAGATTTTTAATCTTTTGGTTTATCATTTATTATAAAAATTTTTCTTTTGGCAAGTACAAAAGAAATTGGGGAAGCTAAAGTATTCCTGAACTCATAAATGAAATATATATATATATATATGTGTGTGTGTAGAAAATTTTACATTATGTATATTTTACCACAATTAACAATTTTTTCAGGCTGAGCATAGTGTCTCCTGCCTGTAATCCCAGCACTTTGGGAGATCAAAGAGGGAGGAATGCTTGAGCCCAGGAGTTTAATACCAACCGGGGCACATAGCAAGACCTCATCTCTATTAGGCATAAAAACTTTACAAATTAGCTGTTAGAAATAGAAGTTGGGAGCCACAAAGAAAATGATCACTCAAACAAAGAAATTCTCAACAAGGCAATTTTACTTCTGCAAAAGGGTGCTGCCCATAAGCCTGATTGCCACAGAGCACCCCATACAAAGGAGAGGAGAGCTTTTTATCCCTAACGCATGAGGCTTCTATTACTGTGTCCAGACTCAGTACTGTGTGGCTGGAGCTGGACCGCACAATCCAAACTAAACCTGATTGGCTAAAAGCTTAAAACTTTCCTAAATAGGTAAACAAAATGGAGAGCAAAGGAATGGAGAAAGTGCTTGCAAAAAGGCTAGGAAAGCAATAACATGTCCAAATAAGAAAAGGAGTATATGCTACAAGCTAGGACATGCATGCCTAGGCTGATCAGGAAACAAGTGGATCAGGCCATTACAAATTAAAGGACAAGGAGACAGAATATGCATATGCCTTATTTGACTTAATTAACTTCCTTTTTGAGGAAGAACTTCACTGTATCTATCATTAGCTGAGTATGGTGGCATGTGCCTGTGTTCCTAGCTACTTGGGAGGGTGAGATTTTTTTGAGCCCAGGTCAAGGCTACAGTAGGCTGTGATCATATCACTGCATTCTAGCCTGGACAACAGAGCAAGACTCTGTCTGAAAAAAAAAATGTTTTAAATATGTAGAGCCAGAAAACAATGTTCATAGTATGAAGTCTGAATTAAGGATTTGGAAATTTGTCCAAATGATGGTTTGAATTTTTACAAACTTAAGGTTTTTTTTTTTTTAATTGTGGTAAGATAAGCTAGAGTATATTTAACATATTTATGCATGTGTGTGTGTAAAATTGGTAGGGGAATCTGTTGTCATTTAATGAAGTGAAGGAGAGAGGTATTGGAGTAGTGGATATGTGTTTTTATTTTTGTTTTGTTTTTTGAGACCAAGTCTCTCTCTCTCACCCAGGCTGGAATGCAGTGGCACGATCTCAGGTCACTGCAGCCTGTTACCTCCAGGTTCAAGCAATTCTCCTGCCTCATCCTCCTGAGTAGCTGGGAATACAGGTGTGCACCACCATGCTCAGCTAATTTTTATATTTTTTAGTCGAGATGGGATTTCACCATGTTGGCCAGGCTGGTCTCTAACTCCTGACCTCAAGTGATCTGACCACCTCAGCCTCCTAAAGTGCTAGGATAACAGGCATGAGCCACTGTGCCTGGCCCAAGATTTCTGGGCTACTTACTCAAGTCTCACTTATGAATCCAAAGGCAAAAAGCATTTAATGAGAGTGCCTAGGTGTTCAATTCTGTGATGCTTACTCATAATAATGGTCTTTAAGGAGTTTAAGACTAGTTGGAGGCCAGACGTGGCTTACGCGTGTAATCCCAACACTTTGGGAGGCCAAGGTGGGTAGATCATTTGAGGTCAGGAGTTCAAGACCCACCTAGCCAACATAGTGAAGCCTGGCTCTACTAAAAGTACAAAAATTAACCAGGTGTGGTGGTGGGCACCTGTAATCCCGGCTACTCAGGAGCCTGAGGCAAGAGAATCACTTGAACTCAGGAGGTGGAGGTTGCAGTGAGCTGAGCTGAGATCATGCCACTGTACTTCAGCCTAGGAGTACAGCCTAGATAGAGCAAGACTCCATCTCAAAAATAAAAGACAAGTTGGGGAAATAGCAGTATGTACTGTTTTGAATGGTTTAAGAGCTAAATTATATGGTCACAGTTACATGTGTAAGAAGAGTTTTAAAGACACTAAGGATTAGTGTGGATCTGAGTAATCAAAGGAGTCTTGATGAAGGATTAGTAGGAATTAAAATGCAGATGAAAACACAGGGGACCTTTTTTTGGAGATGGAAGTAGGCAAGACGTGGGGAAATGAAGCACAAAGACGCAGGAACGGTCAGAGCGAGGCTAGAACAAATGCCCACTGAGTCTGAGGCTCAGAGAACGGTGACTGGTACAGGAACTTTATTTCTACCTGATTTAGGATAAACACTAAGGATGAGAATCTATTTAGTATCCATATATAATTCTATGTAATAGTTGTGTTCCTTACTTTGTCTCTCACCTTCCCTCTAATCTCTCTAAAGGGAACGGAAACACTTTACCTTAGATAAATGATGAATGTAGTAATAAAATGTAAGAAATGAAGAATAATAGAATGGGTTGGAAAATTGAAAAAAGAGTAAGCTTCTCTAGAAAGTCAAGAAAATATTCTTATATTTTAGGTTCATGGTTGCTTTATTCATATTTTGTTTGATTATCTATGGTTAGAAGAAAAATAGATGTCAAAAATAGAGAAAAGATCTATTTATCAAGTATTTTAAATAATTCTGTAAGTACAGGCCTTGTGTGCGTCTGAGTTTCTGGACCCAAGTTCCCGCATCTGTAAAATTAGAATGCAGAACCAGATGAGTATTAAATTATTTTCTAGATATAAAATTCTGTGAATTCAGTATAAAACCATATAATCATGTCTGTATTTTTCTTTCTCTTTTAGCTTGAATCTCAGCATCAACCCATTAGCCATGCGATTACCTATCCATTGTGTTTGTGTAACCAAAGAAAACAGCCATATTCTTGTAGGTTTAGAAGATGGCAAATTGATTGTAGTAGGTGTTGGCAAGCCAGCTGAGGTAAAGCCTAGCATCAGTAATTTCGTTTCTCATGCTGTTGGGGATTACTTTGGTTCGCCTTCATTCCAGCTGATTCAGAAGTCACCATTTTGGATAAACAAATTAAAAAACAAATTTGATTTTTCAAAAGGCAGTAAATAAAAAGAGGATAAAGCTATTCATGAGTGATGTTTATGTTATAATTGAAAGCCCACCTTTGGCAATTCTATCTACCACTCTACGTGAATAAGAAAATTATTTTATTCCAAATCTAGATTCAAGAACATGACTTAGGTTTTCAATACATAAGAGCCTTTACAAAAGCATAAAATATAGGCTCAAACAATAAAACTACTTACTTTAATTTTAACAGATACCCACCATAACTATTTATCAGTTGTTCTTTTGTAAAAGCAACCTTTTTTATTTGTAACTACAAATATCCCCATATATGTGCTTATTCTCAGTGAGTTTCCTATAGTTAAATTTACTTGCTAATGATTTATCAATTACTAGATATTCAGATACCATAAATCCAACTCTCACTTAGGAAAACTTAGTAGTTACACTCCAAGTTACTGATTCTTCCAAATAATTTATGTTATAGCATAGTTAAATTAAGCATTATAAATTTTTTTTAAGTCACTGTTGGTATTTTCTGAGAAATCTAACAGTATAGGATCTGTCAGGATTATTTCAAGGGAAAAAATTACTTTCACACAGTCAGTGGCTATAATAACCTGTTAAAGATCATAAAAAACCTGTTTCATAAATATTTGAAATTTCTTTAGTCCTTATGCTTTTCTTTTTAGCATATTATTTTAACAACAAAAAAAGTATCATTAAATTAATGTTACAATGTCTGGGCATGGTTGCTCCACCTGTAATCCTAGCCCTTTGGGAGACCAAGACAGGCAGATCACCTGAAATCAGGAGTTTGAGATCAGCCTGGCCAACGTGGTGAAACCCCATCTCTACTAAAAATACAAAAATTATCTGGGTATTTTGGCATATGCCTGTAATCTCAGCTACTCAGGAGGCTGAGGCAAGAGAATCACTTGAACCCAGGAATTGGAGGTTGCAGTAAGCCAAGATTGCACCACTGCACTCTAGCATAGGTGACAGAGCAAGACTCTGTCTCAAAAAAAAATTGATTCCAGATCCAGCAGTCTCTCAATGTCAGCAACTCTATATCTCAGTGTTTCACTTATATTTAAAACATTTTAAGGATGTTTCCAATCAGTGCCAGGTTTCTTGATTACCATATTTTGTAAGTAAATACTGTCTTATCCTCTGTTAATGTGATGATGCTCCAACTTTACTCTTTGAGTGTATTTCACTTTCTGTGCTTCGGTCAAGTGCCTTTCAAATTTGCTTACCCTTCTGTCACCTTAAGTTAAGTTTATCAGTTTCTGATGTTACTGAATTTTTTAATGCAATTGCCATTATGTGCATACATTTTCTTTAAAAAATTGATTGGCCAGCTGGGTGTGATGGCTCATGCCTGTAGTTCCAGCACTTTGGGAGGCCAAGGTGGGTGGATCACCTGAGGTCAGGAGTTAAAGACCAGCCTGGCCAACATGGCGAAACCCTGTCTCTACTAAAAATATAAAAATGAGGGGTCCAAAGTGGCTCCCGCCAGAGGTCATGGTGCTTGCAAAGGCGAGGTCATCAGTTCAAGGCTAACCTGAGCAACCTCATAAGCTCAAACTGATTGGCAAAAAAATATATATAAAAATGAGCCGGTGTGGTAGCCAGTGCCTGTAATCCCAGCTACTTGGGAGGCTGAGGCATGAGAATCGCTTGAACCAGGCGGAGGTTGCAGTAAGCCAAGATTGCACTTCTGCACTCCAGCCTGGGGAACAGAACGAGACTCTGTCTCAAAAAAAAAAAAAAAAGATTAAAAAAAATTGATTGGCCAAAGCACCTAAGCAGCTTCATTTTATAGGCTTAATGTTTTATAATATTTACCAAATAAGTTTGGTAATTTGCCCTCATTGAAAGATTTATATAGGCTACAACACATAGAATCTGAATTGTATATAGTGTGTATGTATATTGTGTATATGAGAATTGTTAATGAAAGCATTTTTTTACACCTTTGGCTGTATCAGCTAAATTATAGATCTACTTTAATAAATTAACTATTCAGAGTCTTGCATAATTAAAATATAATTTATTCTGTATTACAATGTAGAATATGAACTAGATCAATATTTACTTGCAAAAAGATATTTCTATATCAATATCTATTTTTATCTAAAACATCAAAATCTTGATTAATATATATTTTTAATCAGGTACTAATTTTATATATTATTCTCTTAGGGTGAAAATCCTATTTATAAATCAGATGGCAAGGTAGTAGGGCTTCAGGAAATACATCTGCAAATGTAACTGCAAAACAACCATGCCAGAGCCACTGGTATCTTTGTATGAGGGTTATCTTTTATCACTCCAATAAATATACCCTAGAACAGTGACCATTAGGCCAGGCAAAGTGGCTCACACCTGTAATCCCAGCACTTTGGGAGGCCGAGGCAGGTTCATGAGGTCAAGAGATTGAGACCATCCTGGCCAATATGGTGAAACCCTGTCTCTACTAAAAATACAAAACTTAGCTGGGCGTGGTAGTATGCACCTGTAGTCCCAGCTACTTGGGAGGCTGAGACAGGAGAATCGCTTGAACCTGGGAGGCAGAGGTTGCAGTGAGCCAAGATCACGTCACTGCGCTCCAGCCTGACAACAGAGCGAAACTCTGTCTCAAAAAAAAAGAAAAGTGACCATTAGAAAAGGGTGGCAACCCTGTCTCAAAAAAAAAAAAGGAAGGTAGAATCACCATTAAAAAGTAGATTGCACTTGAGAAAGTAATTACAAGAAGCATAGGGTTTTTTCGCCCCACCTAGATGTTTAAGCACTTAAAGGACATTTATATATTCACTGATTTAATTAATATTTTATACACTGGGAAGGATGATAGGTAATGCAAATTTAACGGTGAAGAAAATGCAATTCCTGGCTTCAAGGGGCTTATGCTCTCCTTGTTTTCTACATTACTTTTTATCATTCTCTTGTTAATTAGTTTTTGAAAGTCTTATATCAAAGTATTTTAAAATTACATTCTTTTAATCAAAACTTTCTTTTTCTTTTTCCCCTTGAGACGTAGTCTCACTATTTTGCCCAGGCTGGCATGCAGTGGCACGATCTCGGCTCACTACAACCCCAGCCTCCCTGGTTCAAGTGATTCTCCTGCCTCAGCCTCCCAAGTAGCTGGGACTACAGGCACCTGCCACCATGTCCCACTAAGTTTTTTTTTTTATTTGAGACAGAGTCTTGCTCGGTCACCAGGCACCAGGCTGGAGTGCAGTGGCACGATCTCAGCTTACTGCAACCTCTGTCTCCTGGTTTCAAGCAGTTCTCCTGCCTCAGCCTCCCGAGTAGCTGAGACTACAGGTGCACGCTACCACGCCCAGCTAATTTTTGTATTTTTAGTAAAGACGGGGTTTTATCATGTTGGCCAGGATGGTCTCGATCTCTTGACCTCATGATCTGCCTGCCTCAGCCTCCCAAAGTAATTTTTATATTTTTAATAGAGATGGGGTTTCACCACGTTGACCAGGCTGGTCTTGAGCTCCTGACCTTATGATCAGCCCACCTCGGCCTCCCAAAGTGGTGAGATTACAGGCATGAGCCACCTCCCTGGCTTTACTTTTTTCTTATCCTTGCAATTGGCATTAACAGTACTGCAAATACAAGAAAATAAAATCTTCAAACCTACATGCCTTGTTAGCTAAATTAAGAATAATTTTGAGCCAGGCATAGTGGTTCACACCTATAATCCCAGCACTTTGGGAGGCTGAGGTGGGAGGATTGCTTGAGCCCAGGAGTTCAAGACCAGCCTGGGCAATATAGTGAGACCTCATCTCTACAAAAAATAAAAATTAAAATTAATTAAAAATTTAAATAAATTGTTTTGAGAAGCTTATTTTGATGAAGTAATACATATTTTTAATAATTTATAAGATAAAAGAACCTGGTAATTTTGACATAACTGGCCTATTAAATGTTTAAATGTACACATTGGCATTAGACCTTTCTCAAAGACAAAATAAATGTAAAAGTCTTTCATTATTATTATTGTTATTATTATATGTGTATGTGTGTGTATGAGAGAGAGAGAGACAGACGTGATGCCTAGGCTGGAGTACAATGGTGCCATCTGGGCTCACTGCAACCTCTGCCTTCAGGTTCAAGCAATTCTCATTCCTCAGCCTCCAAACTAGCTGGGATTACAAGTGGGCACCACTATGCTGGGCTAAATTTTGTGTTTTTAGTAGAGACGGGAGAGTGCCATTTTGACCAGGCTCTGGTCTCGAACTCCTGACCTCAAGTGATCTGCCCACCTCGGCCTCCAAAAGCCCTGGAGTTACATACAGGCATGAAGCGCCATCCCTGGCTGCCTTTCTCTATTATTAATAACCTTTAAAGCACTAATAATTCTGCCAACAAAATTTGTTTCTTTTCACTCTTCAAAATCAGTGTCTTTTTTTTTTCTTTTGAGACGGAGTTTTGCTCTTGTTACCCAGGCTGGAGTGCAATGGCGCGATCTCGGCTCACTGCAACCTCTGCCTCCTGGGTTCAGGCAATTCTCCTGCCTCAGCCTCCTGAGTAGCTGGGATTACAGGCACGCGCCACCATGCCCAGCTAATTTTTTAGTAGAGACGGGGTTTCACCATGTTGACCAGGATGGTCAATCAATGTCTTATATATCAATTTTATGTATTTTTTTTCTTAATATTTATTCATTTCTTTGTATTACTTTATACAGATGCGTTCAGGTCAGCTTTCTCGAAAATTGTGGGGATCGAGCAAGCGGCTTAGCCAGATTTCAGCTGGAGAAACTGAATATAATACTCAAGATTCTAAGTGATTGTTATTCCATTTTCTGTTATGATTACTGAAACCTGATTTATTGCTTTTCACTTAAACCATATCTCTCAACTCTGCAATGTTGCAAGGCTTTTATCCCTGAAAATCATTTAGGATAACCTCAATTTACTGTGGTATATAAACTAATTCTTGGTCTATACTAAGATGGATTTGAGAAAATTGATTTGATTTGATTTGGTGGCCCATTCCTAAAGGTCATTGTATGCATTTTTAAAACAAAATTCTAAGATAAGAAAATTAGGTTCAATTTGGTTATTATTCCAAATGATAAAATTTAGGATTTTTCTAACAAAAGAGTACAGATAATGGGACAGTTGAGAGAGATGGCTTTATATACATTCTTAAGTAATCATTTTCCTATTTACTGACCACTATAATAAAAATATATCAGTTTATTTATTGACTCCTGACTGGGGATAATGTTTTAAAGGTTTCTGTTGCACACTTGGATTTTCAGAACTCAATAAAAGTTACAGGTTTGCGTAGTAAGAATAAAATAAGAATATTGAAACTGGTACATTAGCTCATTCTACTACTACTTAGCATGTTACTAACGAGAAGTTACTGAAATCTATTATTGTCCTTAAATAATAAAAACTGAGTAGAAAAAGAGGAACTAGAGATACATTTTACAGATGTATTTCCTTAATAATTTAATTAAGCAAAAGTGTTAATTGTGATTTTGACAGTTGGGTCTTTTAAGTAGCATTTGCAGCACAATTTACATTTGCAAAGTACAGAATTTCTTGACTCCTTTGCTAAGCAAATACTGTTTTACTCTAATAATTTTTTTAAAAATTCTATTTTGTGTTTTAGGATTATAGCTAATTTTATTATATAATGTTAAATGTTAAGTTATGCTTGATTACTAAGATCTTAAAGTAAAAACCTGATTTATTTAATTTGGAATTCAAAGACATTGTTAAACTTAGATTTTTTTTGTAAGATTATCTTTTGGGTTGGGTCAGAGAGGTTTTACAACTACCAGTGTTTTTAATCCAAGATTCCATGTATTTGAGGGAGCTTGTGAATCCCTTTGAAATTTTGCAGAGATTTTGTATGTTAAATGCATTTTCAGGATGGAATGGTTACATGGCTTTCTTTAAAGGGATCTGTGACCAGGAAAAAAAAAAAAGCTTTTAAAATCAAGTAATAATATTCTTTTTTGTTCCACAAATCATAGATGTCCTTACATCCAATTGCCTTCTTAACTGAATCTTAGAGAAATTATTCCTTTGCAATTTCACTCTCCTGTTGACCACAGTATCCAGTGCCCTTTTCTTTATAGTCTTTTGAGTGAGTAAAATAAATAAATAAGGAATAAATTATTCTGTTTTGGGAAACTTTTGAATAGATTTGATTTGATGTGAGTCAGGGCTAGTAAAAAGCTATAGAAGAATTTTCTTTCTAATAAGTAAAAATCTTCTGTTTTATTAAGGAAAAAATAGCTATGTTTAAGGTAAATAACTGAAATAAACTGGATACAACAATTGTGAAGTATAACATATGTAAATGTAAAGGTGTCTTAAGACTTCAGGAATTTGTATTGAAAAAAGTCTCAAAATAAGTTCAGTGGCAATAATCATACATAAGTGAGACTGGCTAATTTTCATGTATTCTTTTTTGGGGAGATGGGAGGCTTCAATCCAGTGCTTTACCCATGGTGCCACCATGGCTATCTTATTTTCATCTTACAGTTTTTAAGGAGATTTCAAGTCAGCATGACTAACATGATTGATTTTTAGTTTTTAAAATATTGATTTTTTTGGAAACTTTCTGAATCAAAACGAAGTTTTATTTTGTTATTTATCTGGATATTTTGATTTAAAAGTGTCTTATTTTTAAGTTTACTTAATATTGGATTTGAAAGTTATTTTGGATGCTTATAAGTTTTCTAAAATTAGAAAAAAATATGCCTAAATGTTTTACTATGCTGCTTTTTAGATGGAAGAAATAAGCAGTTTTTATTTTATAGTACAAATAAGTTTTGCTCACAATATAATAGATATCCTACCTAGACTAATACTAAATATACACAGTAGTGGATTTATTCCTTATATTGCTTTGTTCCAAAAAGTTAAAACCAAAAATGTAGAATTTAAAGAAAAATATTTGAGAATACTAGCAACAGTCTAGAGAATGGAACTTAAATGTTATCTATTAAAAGAAGCAAATAGAAGTATTAGCTGAATAATAAATTACTCATTTAAAGAGTATAGCCTACTAAATTACTAGATAAAATAATTGTAAAGAAGTACTTTTGAGATGTTATCCATAGAAATTAGTCATAATGTAATGGGAGAAATGAGTAGTATCATTAGAATGAAATAACAGGTGAACACTTCAGTTAGTGAATATAGTATGTCAGTTTGACTTACAGAGTCTGTAATCTTTGCACAACTTTTAATCTGCTTTTGTTTCTTGATACTGATGATGACGAAAATAAAAATCTCAGCATCCTGGTGATAGGAAGAGATTTATACCAAGATAATTATTTTACTTTTGGAAAATGAGATCAAATATTAAAACATGTAATAGCTGTGCACACTTAGAGAATAAAGAAGCTTTATAAAATTTTTTTTACAACTGTTTTCAATCAGTATTTTTGTCATTACTCAGATAAAATTGAAAGAAGGAAAAATAGATCAGAGCACAAAAATCAGGAAAGTTTATAAAAATGAAGGTTGGCTAGTTGGTTTAGTCTTTCTTTTCAGCCTGTGAAACTCATGTCTGTTTTTAAGAAGTTAATACAAAATTAAAATCTATTAACTTTTTTTAGGTCATAGTGCAGCGCATCCTTTTGCAGAAGAAAAAATACCAAGTGTTCGTTCTGTCATTAGCAAGGAACACCAGTGAGGTTTCTTTTTTTTCTCTATTTAGGGCATATCAGAATTATCCTTCAGAGTACTCGTGTTGAAAATCAGATTTATGCTTCTGAAAAGAAGTATACTCTCAGAATTAGAATTTAGATTTGAAGGTTGAATCTTAATCTAAGACTTTTTTGTTGTTGTTTAATCTAAGACATTTTATATTTTGTGTGAAAAGGAGTGGGCAGAGAAAACTTGTTAACTTGGATACCAGATTTTTATTTAATGATGATAGAGATATGACCTTTGCATTTATGTATATTTTATATTGTTACTACTAAAGAGATCACTTAGGAAATCTTGTAATTGAACTTAAGGAAGTTAGCTCCTTTTGTATATTTATATTTATAAAATGAGTGGCATTATTCTTCACCACTTTCCAGTGAAAAGATGCAAGTCCTAGGACTACATTAAATATAAATATTATAATATTAAATAATATATAATATGTAATATCATGGGTGTCTGTGTAAAGGATATGTGTAAGGACTAGTCTTTTCAAATATATATATTTAAACCTGTCTTCTGTAAACAGGCTCCTGAACCTATCTTTAGGATACAATTTTTGACTGGGATATAAGAAATTAAACATGGGCCGGGCGTGGTGATTCATGCCTGTCATCCCAGCACTTTGGGCGGCCGAGGTGGGCGGATCACAAGGTCAAGAGATCCAGACCATCCTGGCCAACATGGTGAAACCCTATCTCTACTAAAAACAAAAACAAAAATTAGCTGGGTGTGTTGGCATGTGCCTATAGTCCCAGCTACTTGGGAAGCTGAGGCAGGAGAATCGCGTGAACCCGGGACATGGAAGTTGCAGTGAGCCAAGATTGTGCCACTGCACTCCAGCCTGGTGACAGAACAAGATTCCATCTCAAAAAAAAAAAAAGAAACATGTTTTTCTGTTTCCTTCTTTTTTTGTTTTTATCATCAGCCATACTCATGGCTTACCCTATGCATTGTTCCTCTCATCAGCTGAAACGTTTCCTCCCCAATAGGTGAGCAATCTTAAACATTTTTATCACCCTTAAAAAAATCCATTCTCAATATTCTTTTTGCTGAATTTGTGTATTGTGCATACTCAACATATTATTTGTTTTAAACTTGATTCCATCCAGAGCATTGTTCTGTAGAGTTATCCTGTATTTATCAGAGTGGTGTGTTATTTTTCTTGATAACATTAGACAACCATATAGTATTATCAGTTGTCATTTTAATATGATTTAAAATGTGGACCACAGCCTGCCTTCTTTAATTTAAATTTAGGCCAAGCATGGTGGCACATGCCTATAATCCCAGCACTTTGGAAGGCTGAGGTAGGAGGATTACTTGAGCCTAGGAGCTCAAGTCCATCCTGGGCAACATAGTGGGCCCCCACCTCTACAAGACGGTTAAAATTAGCCATGCATGGTGGCACATGCCTGTAGTCCTAGCTACTTGGGAGACTGAGGTGAGGGGATCACTTGAGCCTAGAGGTCAAGGCTGAAGAGCTGCAGGGAGCTCGCATTGCACCACTGTACTTCATCCTAGCTGACAGAGACCCGGTCTCCAAAAAACTTTTTTTTAAATTTAAATCTAGCAGTTTCTAGGCCAGTGGTTTTTTGTGTTTTGTTTTTTTTTTCCAAATCCTCAAAATAGTCTTTATTCTACATTTTTAGTATAAAAATTCTACAAGTTAAGTGCATCACAGTGGAAATAGAAACATACAATGCTGAACTTCCATAACAGTCAGTGGTACAGTCAAATATCACATGTACAGAACACACAATTTAGATGAACTGAAATTATAAGATAAAATCCAATTTCAGAAAACAAAAATCAAAACATTAAGGATTCTTGAAATATTCTTAATCCTAATGAGATTTCACTGGACTCAAGTCATTTGTTCACAGTACAATTTGTATGATATCTTTGTGTAAGCATAGCTTAGTTTTCCTGGCACCAAAGCAAATTTAGGTTAGGTTCATGCAGGCAGGGACAACCTATGAGGAGGGCCCAAAGGCACCCTCTGCTTTTGCCTGAGGAGATGTGAAAGCAGATCTGTGCTTGAGGCACAGAGGGAGTTTCAGAGGATCCTTGTGAAAGACTAGTTAAAAGATGACAAGTGGGAAGGAGTTCGAGGAAGGGAGGAAATTAGTCTGACTGGCTTTCTGTCCTCCGTCTTTGATTCAATGGAGACTGGCAGGAGGAACTGGAAGACTAAGGTTGGAGATGGGATGGGTGGGCAAGGGATGGAAAGGAAGATGGGGACAACTAATGGGTTCCATTTATATCAAGTAATATAAATCAAAGACCTAAAGGAGATTAGAGGCCAATCAGAATAATTTGACAACTTTAATTCTTAGGAAGGTAAAGTTCCCTCCAAACCTATTTTGATGTTTTATTACTAAACGCAAAGAGCAGTATGGTACATTATTACTCCAGAGAAATTAAAGGAAGATCCTTAGGGCAGCTTCACCCACATTCATATTATGATGGATACCTCCCCTAGCTCAAAATGCTTTAGGAAGGTACTGCTACCATTACATGGTTTTTTATTAAATTTGAAAAATGCCTGGAAGTTTGGACACCAGAAAGACACCCAAAAACATGTGTCTAAACTGCAACTTCAGGTTAATATGACTAGAGCAGTTACATTGTGAGAAGTGCTGAAGGTATGTTATGTCTTTCCCGACACAAAGTTGACCTTGTTTCCTCAGCAGATGGTGTAGCCACCATCTGAACCACCCATGAAGAAGTTCTCCTTTAGAAGTTCTCCTTCCGCTGAGTTACGAGGACGCTGACTCCTGCATGACTGCAAGCTGAGCAGCATGGGAGGGCATCCAGGAGGTGGAAGAGGAGTGTTGCCAGCAGTAACCCAGCTCCAACTCTGTCATCTGTATCATACCCTCCTTCCACCAGCCCTGTAGAGCCAGCTGGATAGATGGGACCCACTGGATAATAAGCCATGGGGATTGTGGAACCTAAAGGCCCAGCAGCCACAGACTGGGCCATGGGAAGATACAGAGAGGCTCCAGGAAATGCAGCCAACATGGTGGGGACTCTGGGTGCACAGTGCTCAGATGATAGAGCTCTGAGTAGGCAGGTGGTGCATCAATATAGGGTGGAGCCTGAGGAATATGCAAGGTCTGAGGGCATACTGGATTCCCAGGAGGCTGCACAGGGTAGGTTGACTGTTCATGGTGGCTGTGGGTTCGCTTCATCTTGACATTGCCAGGCCAGTGGTTCTTAATGGACATTGCAGGTCAGACTTGTCTATGGAGTTTATAAATATACAGGTATCTAGGCACTGCTTTGGACTTCCTGAATCTCTATACTTTATATTGGTATTAAAAAATTATGTATCAGGATTATTATTTTATATCATAAAATATTTTCCTGTATGGAAATTTGTCCATTTATCTTTATAAACCCTATCCAATATTCAGACTTATTTGAAAATAGGCTTAATCCTATCCCAAGAGACATTTTGTATAAAATGTTTGAAATGGCTTTATTATCTTTGTTTTGCCTGCCACAGAAACAACCAAATTTCCTTTCAATTTTTTTTTTTTTTTTTTTGAGACAGAGTCTCAGTCTGTTACCAGACTGGAGTGCAGTGGCGCAATCTTGGCTCACTGCAACCTCCGCCTCCTGGGTTCAAGCGATTCTCCTGCATCAGACTCCCCAGTAGCAGGGACTACAGGTGTGTGCCACCCCACCCAGCTAATTCTTGTATTTTTAGTAGAGACAGGGTTTCACCATATTGGCCAAGATGGTCTCAATGTCCCGATCTCGTGATCTGCCCACCTCAGCCTTCCGAAGTGCTGGGATTATAGGCGGGGCCCTCAATTGCATTGTCTATCTTGAACTCTCTTGAGACTATTCACATTTGTAAATTGTAACTAAAATTTGCCTCCAGAAAAGTACGTCTGTTTGCTAATATTAGTTCCTAGTGGCTATCAGTGAATGTTTTGCAAACTTGAATTAGGTAACATTTTAAAGAATAAAAAACATGACTAACATGCTAAATTTAAAACCTAAAAGTAGATCTTTTATCTTATAGCCTTGAAGCTTGTAATCAGTAGAATTTTCCTAACTAAAAAGCACTGGATGTCATGCCTGTAATCCCAGCACTTTGGGAGGCTGAGCGGGCGGATCACCTGAGGTTGGGAGTTTGAGACCAGCCCAACCAACATGGACAAACTTCATCTCTAAATTAAAAAAAAAAAAGCATTGGATGAATTATTTACTACTTCCAATGACTTTTGCAGGTATCGCTTCTGTATGGAAATAATCTTTCATTTTTTATAGGTATAACAGAATAAAGCATTAACATTTAAGATAATTAATTTTAAATAGGAAACGATTTCATTTTTTTGTGTTAAGAAATGTAAGGCTATCCTAGAGTATAGGAGTTCTGTGATTTTCTTCTGTATAAAAATCTCATTTAATAGTGGCTGTATTATCAGATACTTACCTGATTATAGTAATTCATCGACACATCTCCTTCCTTTGGTGATTATCTCATTTGCATTTGCCACATGTGGGTGATTTCTAAACACATTGCAGAATTTGGACCTGTAAACCAGTGGCTTTGGTGATAAATAAAAGGATGCATTCAGTAATATTTACCTTTGTCTTAATGCCCATAATCTTATGAATTGAAAATGCTGAAGAAAAAGAATAAATAGAAAGCTACTAATTCAACATTTGCTTTTCATGGTACGTTTTTCATGTTTCCTTGGAAACTTACATTTTGCAAATGTAACAATAATAGTAATAACATAACTTTATCATTTAAAAAATTACCCATTCATTTTTCAAACTTGACTTTTGGCTGGGCATGGTGGCTCACACCTGTAATCCCAGCACTTTGGGAGGCTGAGGCAGGTAGATCACGAGGTCAGGAGATCAAGACCATCCGAGGTGTACGTGTGTCTGTTTGTGTGTGTGTTTCCACATATATGATGGCTGTCTCATTATTTAAATTAATTTATAATTATTTTTCAGTGTATAGCGTGATTAGCTGCTTGTAATGCTGTTACAATGTAACATTGTAATGTAACATGAAGAAAAATTAGGATTTAGGTGGGATTTTTAAAAATTTATCAATTAAAAATAAACTTTTAAAAAGAAGTCTTATTCCAATTGGGCCTTTAAAATTTTTATTTTTGGTAATAATATATTTCAACTTAAGATGTATTAAAACTAGCAGTTCTCTGATAATCAGTGTACTAGTCAACATTAAAATGCTATTTTAGGTTGTCTTCTTTTGGTAACATTTTCTGACACTAAGCAACGTGTTTTACAGTGAGCTGAACATACAAATTCATAAATGCTTTCTCCTTATTTTGAAGGAAAAAATACTTGTCTGTATTAGACATAATTATTTTGTTCTTCAGAATATTAAAATTATGTTAATCAATAAACACTTTTAAGAAGTCGTTCTGATAGGATGGTATCAGTAGTCAGACTTAATTGAAAAACTGTCAGCCTCTTGTTTTTTATATAGGGATTAAAGAGGATAACTATTTTTTCCTTTGGAATTTTGATTGTTTTTCTCAGATGGCTTTTTAATGATTTAATTATAATTTTCTATTTTTCTTCCAGAATTATGACATGTTATAGTAGATCTTACTATTAAAGATCTTTTATATTTTTAACTTTTTTTTCTATTCTCCTTTTTATTACTCTCAAAGACTGTGACTGATGAACACCATTACCAAACTTTTTTTGTGATTAACTGCTTATTTTATAATTAGGTTTACATAAGAACACTTCTTAGAAAACTGTGGGCTTCTTGGTTCTATTCAGAAACTCTTAACAGGTATGGCTTTCATTCCTCCAACTGTTTGTTTGCTTTTATAGACTTGGAGCAAAAAATTTAGCAAAAAGTAATCAGATATCTGGCTAGACAGTCATTTTCTCTCAGATTCATTGCTATAAAAATCAATCTGCTGAGGCATAAAAATATGAAACATATTTAATTCACCTCTTTGGTCAGCTTTTCTGGGACTCCAGTAGCATTTCAGTGTTATAGAGAGTAACAGTGATTTAAATGCATGTAAATGCAAATAGTCAATTCAGAGCAAGATAATTGAAAATTCAGAATGACTTGTTTTTTGAAAGTACCTGGAAATTGTGCTGCTACTTAAATATTGAAGGAATTCAGAAAGTTGTGTATTTATCTTGAAATGTTCCTTCTCATTCTACTGGAATTGACCATGAAAAAGAAAATATTGCACCTTGTATATATCTAATTATTGACTGTGCAAACTGTGACTCAGTGGATATTTGTATGCCCCCCAAAAATGTTTTAAAGTTGAGCAAGTTTTAATAAATATGTGTAAATAATTTTGATTATTATTCTCATTGTAGGTAAGTTACTGTTAGTTTGGTGAATTACATTCTTTCCTTCCCCATCCTTTTAAAATTAAATATGTAAGATGTATGTTTTGTTTTATTACATAAAGTGCTATTTTTAGAAAATTCATTGTGTGTATATGTGCTAATATTTGATTTGTTTCTGTATAGCATGATTACAAATAATAATTGAAAAATTTGCACTTATTTTAGGCCCTTGGAAATTTGTATTCTAACACTTTTTAAAAATGTACATTTATTTTGTACATAATAAATTAGCTTTGTATATGAAAATGGGTTTGAATCAGATTTTTTAAATGTTACTTTCTTCAGTTGATTTGTAATTCTCAATTCATAGTCTGATTAGAACTTACCGTTGGCTAAGTTATTTGGGTAGATAAGAGATTTGAATACAGTATTTGTTAATTAGAAAATTGATCACTGTTTCTCATGACAAGAATTTATTCTGTCGTCCTAAGTGCACAAGATAAATGTCAATTGACTAGGTTTTGTCATATGTAATAACAAATATTTAGCCTTTCGCTTTAGAGCTACCTCAAAAACATTGTTACAGGCTAGGCACAGTGTCTTATGTCTGTAATCATAGCACTTTGGGAGGCCAAGGCTGGAGGATGGCTTGAGCCCAGGATTTTAAGGCCAGCCTGGGCAATATAAGGAGATTCTGTCTCTGCAAAAAATTTAGAAACTAGCCAGGCAGGGTGACATGCACCTATAGTTCTAGCTACTCAGGAGGCTGAAGTGGGAGGATTACTTACATGAGCCCAGTAGGTGGAGGCTACAGTGAGCCAAGATGATATCACTGCACTCCAACCTGGGTGACAGAGAAATACCCTGTCTCAAAACAAAAAAATATTGTTTCAATTTTTCCCTTAGCAAATGATTATATGCCATAAATCTCCATTTGTAGTTAACCAAATAATACATTAGGCTGAATTTTTTTTCTTTCTTTTTCTTTTGCTGCTACACAAAGGTTGGATTTTTTTTTTAACTTACATTCGGTCACAATTATAATCTTCAGGGCTAGTCATGGTGGCTCATGCCTGTAATCCTAGCACTTTGGGAGGCCAAGGGAGGAGGATTACTTGAGGCCAGGAGTTTGAGGCTGCAGTAAGCTATGATCACACCACTGTACTCCAGCCTGGACAACAGAACAAGACTCTGTCTCTAAAAATAAAATATTTTTCCCTCAACTTTGACATCTAAATGTTGACCTAATCATTCGGTTTTGTCAAGGTTAATAGAATCTAATCCATAATACGACAGAAGCCAAACTCTGTTCCAGGTTCTTGTTTGTACTTTTGTCTCTAGATCCAGAATAACAAAACAGCAGAGATGAACATTAACTTTTATCTACTGGCACCATCCATTCACTATGCTATACTTTACTGAAGACATTTCATTAGAATTGGAAACTTCCTGCATTAATTCATCTCTGGTAAGATTTCCCAGTGACTGGTCAATCAAGGCCAAGTTAGTTACACGCTTGATTAAGACTGCCTTGCTTTTGTAAAACAAGTTTGTAACACCATTCAAAGCATCAACTAAATCTGTTTGTTTCACACAGAGATACTGGAGCATATATTTTCTCACCATACACAGTTGATCCTTGAACAACATGGGTTTGAACTGTACAAGTGCACTTATATGCAGATTTTTTTCAACCAAACACAGATCAAAAATACACTATTTGGCCTGGGAAACATAGTGAGACCCTTTCCCTACAAAAAAAATCAAAAGTTAGTAGGCCCAGTGGTGCACAGCTATTCAAGAGGCTTAAGCCTGAGAGGTCAAGCTGTGTGATCACATCACTGCACTCAACCTAAGCAACAGAGCAAGACCCTGTCCCAAAAAATAAAATACAGTGGGTTTTTAGAGTTTTGTTGGTTTGCTTGTTTACTTTTTAGTAGACAGGGTTTCACCATGTTGGCCAGGCTGGTCTTGAACTCCTGACCTCAGGTGATCTGCCTGCCTCAACCTCCCAAAGTGCTGGGATTATAGGCATTAGCCAATGCACCTGACCAATGAAGAGATTTTTTAAAGGCATAAACGTATAAGGGCAAAGAAAACAGAAGAGAAGATGATACAATTTCAGGAGTTGGAAAATTACTGGATGAATGCAGGCAGATCACCTGAGGCTAGGAGTTTGAGACCAGCCTGACCAACATGGTGAAAGCATGAGTCTACTAAAAATACAAAAAAAAAATTAGCTGGGCATGGTGGCAGGTGCCTGTAATCCCAGCTACTCTGGAGACTGAGGCAGGAGAATCATTTGAACCCAGGAGGCGGAGGTTGCAATGAGCCAAGATCACACCACTGCACTCCAGCCTGGGTGACAGGGCGAGACGATGTCTCAATATATATCTATATATATCGGCGGCTGGTTAGCTCAGTTGGTGAACAAACTGACTGTTGAACAACAACAAAAAAATAGATTTAACATTTTAAAATTAAGGCTGGCACAGTGGCTCCTGCCTGTAATCCCAGCATTTAGGGAGGCCAAGGCAGGAGGATCACTTGAGCCCAGTTTAAGGCTGCAGTGAGCTATAATTGCACCACTGTCTCCTCTCTCTTTCTTTTTTTTTTTTTTTTTTTGAGATGGAATCTCGCTCTGTTGCCCAGGCTGGAGTGCAGTGGTGCGATCTCGGCTCACTGCAACCTCTGCCTCCTGGATTCAATCGATTTTCCTGTCTCAGCCACCATGCCTGGCTAATTTTTTTTGTATTTTTAGTTTTGATGAGGTTTCGCCATGTTGGCTAGGCTGGTCCTGAACTCCTGACCTCAAGTGATCCACCCACCTTGGCCTTCCAAAGTGCTAGGATTATAGGCGAGAACCACCACACCTGGCCGTAAAACTTAAATTAATTTGTACACTTTTTCTTGGTAACCTGTCTTTTGTTGCAGGGGGCTCAGCTATGAACCTAGTGATGGGTGAGAAAAGAAATCTTTCCTGCTCTACAAAGATATATTTGGGGCAGAAGGATAGAATATCATTTATTTAACAGATTGTTAATTTGATGGGTAACTTGAATATTTTGACTTGTCAAGCAAATCCACACCAATATTTCCATCTCCCTAAACCTTTGTACTTCTTCTGTAGTAGAAGTCCACACATTTTTTCTATAAAAGGATGGGCAATAAATATTTTATACATAACGCCGTTGCAACTATTCAATTCTGCTGTTGTAGCCATATATAGTACATAAGCAAGTGAGCATAGCTGTCTTCCACAAAATTTTATTTCCAAAACAGGTGGGGCTCAGCATGCTGGCTGATGCCTGTAATCCCAGCACTTTGGGTGACAGAGACAGGAGGATTGCTTGAGGCCAGGAGTTTGAAACCAGCCTGAGCAACATAGTGAGACCCTGTCTCTACTAAAACAAAACAAAGCCAAAAAATAGCCAGGCATGGTGGCACATGCCTGTAGTTGTAGGTACTCAGGAGGCTGAGGCAGGAAGATCACTTGAGCCCAGGGGGTCAAGGTTGCAGTGAGCTATGATTGCACCACTGCTTTCCAGCCAGGAGATTTCTGGCATCTCAACTTGAATGACTGTAGGCCAACATTGAATCCAGACTAGTTAACCAAACAAGCATATTCAGATTCAATCTCAAATGCTCAACTGGTAGGATTTGGCTTTGTCCCCACCCAAATCTCATCTTGAATTGTAGCTCTCAGATTTCCCAAGTATTGTGGGAGAGACCCAGTGGGAGGTAATTGAATCATGGTGGGCAGGTCTTTCCCGTGCTTTTCTCATGATAGTAGATGAGTCTCACAAGATCTCATGATTTTGTAAAGGGGAGTTTTTCTGCACTAGTTTTCTTCTTTTGTCTGCTGCCATGTGAGACGTGCCTTTCACCTTCCACCATGATTGTGAGGCCTTCCCAGTCACATGGAACTGTGAGTCCATTAAAACTCTTTCTTGGCCAGATGCAGTGGCTCACCCCTGTAATCCCAGCACTTTGGGAGGCCGAGGTGGGTGGATCACGAGGTCAGGAGATCAAGACATCCTGGCCAACATGGTAAAACCGCATCTCTACTAAAAATACAAAAATTAGCTGGGTGTAGTGATGCGTGCTTGTAATCCCAGCTACTCGCGAGGTGGAGGCAGGAGAATTGCTTGAACCAGGGAGTTGGAGGTTGCAGTGAGCCGAGATCGTGCCACTGCACTCCAGCCTCACGACAGAGCAAGACTCAGTCTCAGAAAAAAAAAAAAAACAAAAAAACTCTTTCTTTTGTAAATTGCACAGTCTCCAGTATGTCTTTATCAGAGTGTGAAAATACACTAATATGGTAAGTTGGTACCAGTAGAGTGGGGTGCTGCTGAAAAGATAATCAAAGTTATTATGAGCCTTCACTTGTTCTTGCCAGATAAGTTAATTTCAGCCATGTGTTTCCTTACTGCCCACTCCCCATGCCTCTGTTTATTGGTGATAATCATCTCACATCACACAGCACCTCAGTGACAGTATTGGCCAATCTTGAGGGTGTATTTACATTTGTGTTCTTAGCACTCCATGGCACTGGCTCTTCAGCCACCTCTGTGGCCTGGCATAAAAGATTTACAGGATGAAGTGGGTGAGTAAATGTGGCTCCTCAGAGACATAACTAATCCAGAAAAAGGCCAGTGGGAGCACTTCTGGACCTACCAGGGACATGATGTCTACCTGGATTCTCTTCTTTAGGATTTTTCAGTTGGCTCTTACTTGGTATATTTAAACAAGCATTTTCTCCAAATAGTCCTTTCTTATTGTTTTTTAAAATCAGCTTGGTTACAACAGCCAGCCAGGCTTATTAGACCCGTAAGACCAAGGAGATGGCTGATGTGAAATTGTTGGCGAAGATGGATTAGGAAAGTTTTCTAGTAGAAAGTTTTATTAGTTTTAAAACTTGCCAAACTCACATGAACAGGATAGTAGACTTAAATTGATCATTATACAACGTGTATATGTATCAAAACATCATGCTGTACCTCATTATATATAATTATAATTTTTAAGTAAGTAGTTTTAAAAATTCAGTATCTTTCAATTACTTTGGAGAACTGAGTGACATTACAAAAAATAAAAAATTGCAGGAAAAATTTTAACACACATTTTTACTTAATTGGTGTA